AAACCCCCCCCTCCAAACCCCCCCCTTCAAACCCCCCCCCTTCAAACCCCCTCAAAAACAAAAAAAAATTAGAAAAAGAGACAAATGTCCTCGGTGAGACTCGAACTCACGACCTTTGGATGGCCCCGAATGTTTTGGATTTCATTCGTGTCATATTCATTTCGATAAGAAGAAGATATGAGACCAACGCTCTAACCAACTGAGCCACGAAGACTTTGCTTTGTTTGTTGGTTGGTTTTTGGGTGCGGGGTTTTTTAAGTGGGTGATTTGGTGGGGGGTTAATTGTGGGGTATGAAAAAGGGGGAGGATGGGATGGGATGGGATGGGGTAAAGTAAGTGTGTGCAGGTTTGGATGTATAGATGGTGATTTAGTTGTGCGAGGAAAGTTTTTCTCATTATTGTTTCATCTCTTATTACTCTTTCATCTTTCATGACTTTTCCATCTCTCATTACTCTTTCATCTCTCATATCTCTTCCATCTCATGTCTTTTCCATCTCTCATCTCTTATCCATCTTTAACATCGCTTTCATCTCTCATATCCCTCTATATCTTCCTCATCTCTCCCATCTCCCTGATCCCACTTCCACCTCTATCTCATCTTATCTCATCTCATCACGTCCACCCACCCTCCCTTCTCTCCTCCCAGCGTCCCTCCTCCTTCCTCCAAGCACTTGCGACTACGAGTTCTGTTTGCCGACACTCGCTACCACGTGGAGGTCGAACTTCTTGAGAGAGTGCCGACGCCGCGTACTAAGGGAACATGTTGTGTTCCTGTTCGACGACGCCGACCCGCTGGCTAGCAGACGGATGATGATGATGATGATGGTGGTGGTGGTGGTGGGTGGGGTCTGAAACGCTGTGAGAAGATCGTTGCCCGCCGGGGGTCGTCGTTCGCTGGTTTGTTTCTGGGGTGTACTTTTTTTGTGGTTTTGGTTTTCTGATTTTGGTATTTCGACGTAGTGCTTAGATCGTTGCCTGCGAGAGGTCGTCGTTCGCCGTCTTCTTTTCTTGTGGTTTTTCGTTTTCTGAGCTTCTTTTTTTTTGGTGTTTCGACGTAGTGCTAAGATCGTTGCCTGCAAGAGGTCGTCGTTTGCCGTCTGTTTTTTTGAGGTTTTCCGGTTTATGAGATTTTTTGGTGTTTTGACGTGATGCTAAGATCGGTGCCCGCAAGGGGTCGTCGTTCGCCGTCTGCTTTTTTGGTGTTTCGACGTAGTGCTAAGAGCGTTGCCCGCGAAGGGTCGTCGTTCGCCGTCTGTTGTTTTTTTGTGGTTTTTCGTTTTATGACATTTTTTTGGGGATTTTTTGGTTTGATGAAGAAAGGAGATTCGTGAATCGTGACGTTGGGTTGCTAAGTCGTTGCCCGCATGGGGTCGCTGTCGCCGTCGTTTGAGATGAGGTCGAGGGCAGAGCCGGGTGTCCGGGTACTGATGACCTTTTTTGGTGTTTTTGGTGTTTTTTTTTGTGATGTTTTTGTGATGTTTTTGTGATGTTTTTTGTGATGTTTTTTGTGATGTTTTTGTGATGTTTTTGTGATGTTTTTGTGGTGTTTTTGTGGTGTTTTTGTGGTGTTTTTGGTTTTATGGTTTTTTTGGTGCCAAATGCCATTCAGTCGCTGATCCACGCAATAAACAATCCAGAGTATGTTCTGGTTCGCTGATGGAGGAGAGGTGATAGCCGCTCCGGTGCATGTCTCTGCAACAATACAGAAAAATCGCTAAAATCGCTGATTCGAGGTCTCAAAAACGTCCTCGATAAGGGGAGTTGAGGGTGTAGCTCGGCAGACGGAACTGGTGTGTTTCGTACTGCGTTTCTGGCCACGCTCCAGGCATCTTCGGGGTGATGTTCCGATGATGAGCTGGTCGAGGAGGGGTGATGTCATATGTCACTTCCTCGTCGGCGGGCCAGGAGCCAGGAATCTGCGGGACGAAGTTCTGATACGATGGCTGGCGGACTTTCGGTGGCTGGACAAATCTGACGCTGAGTGTGCGAACAGGTTTGATAGCTTGTGGCCGAATACATTTGATATGGTGTGGGCGAACAGTCTTGACATGCTGTTGCTTGAGTTCTGCAAAGATGCGTCGAGTCTCGGGTCTGACCGGGATAAAGTCCGGAAAGACTGGAAAAGTGACGGGTTGCTGAACAAACTCGGTGGGTCGAACACACTCCACGGCGTGATGGTTGAGATCTGCTGAATAGCTTCTCTCAAAGGGTTCAGGGTGCGAGACGAGAACGTCGCTCGGGGACACCTGATGGAGGATTTGCTTCTCGTTGTATTGAGGAAGCAAGTCGGCATCATTCTTCTGGCCGCAAAAGCGTCTGATGAGGGCGCGAAAGCGTCGGATGAGGAATGGGATGCACATGGTGGATGTGAAGGAAAGTCTTCTAGAGAGCTTCCTTGAAAAGAGAAGTGATGTGTGGAGACAGAAGTGTTCGAATGAGTATGATTTTGTTGGGTGTGAACTACCAAGTTGAAATTTGCCAGTTCACGATCAATGTTTGAGATTGATGTAGAGGGAAGAAAAAAAGCTGAAAGGTGGGAGAGCAGCTGCTCTCTTATACCCTTCACAAGCATACCTTGGGAGGTGGGCACAGGATTGCAAGAAATAAGAGAGTCATATGGGCTTTTGGGTCCCAGAAATGGAGTATCATTCTGTCAAGACTCAGAGCAAATTAGAGTTTTAACCAGAGATAATGAAAGCGAGCGATAACCTTGAGAGACAACATCTTCCAGAAGCCATGGTACGAGTAGGTAGGTTGAACTCTAAAATTTTCTGAGAAGAACAGGTGACGTGACGATGCCTTGCAACAATCCGCAATTGGAAGGAACTGAGAAGGAGATGGATATTCATTGTATGCATATTCAGATGTTGCCGCAGGAGAACTTCCGAAACCCATTTGTACAATACATGCCAACCCCCTATTTTGAATAGCCGACTGCTCAACTCTAAATGCTGGCATTTTAAGGGGCACATGAACAATGCGGACTTTTTGGAGAGATTCATGGATTGTGAAATCAGGTTGCAAATAAGGTTTGAAAGAGTGACGACCTGCAAAGTTGCAATACCCTGACGACCAGACACGAGGCTTCTCATAGATCATCACCGACTAAAGCCTTCGGTCAAGACTTCTCGACATCATCCGATATTTGGTCATGGGAGTCGCATTTAAAGTTTTCAATAACGGACCCTGAAGCCCAAATACCCGGACGGGGACCACGAGGTTCATCACCATCAGCCGAAACTTTCGGTCGACCCTCATTTCCGTCCAGCTATTGGAGTCATATTTAGACTTTCGCCATGAAGCCCAAAAGCCTGGACGAGAAATAGAAAGCGCCAGCGATACCTTGAACTCCAAACGAAGGTTTGCGAGCTTAGTGGATCCGCCTTGGAATTCACTGACAGTCATCGCATCGCGTATTGAAGAACTTTCATCAAACAGCTTCTCGCATTTTCCAACCCTCAAATTCTTTGGAAAACATCACTTGATGTCTCACCACCTACCATCTTTCACCATCCCTCAGCCTCCAGATCCCCAAATCCCCAAATCACGGACAAGCATACAATCCCATCCCCATTATACACAAAAAACCCCCTCGCAACAAAACCACGCGCTCCTCATGACCAGCATCCCAAAAACCCATCTCAGGTCATGCAAAAAAAAATAAACTTTTCTCAATCCATAGTTCAACACACAAAGTATAAATTCATTTACCTACCTACCTTATTCAAGCCACCCATGTATCTCATCTATCTCACAAGGTCGACAATGACAAATGGCGCATGTGGATAACTCGCGTGCCATGAAAAAAGGGCAGAATACTTCGAAAAATGAAACGAGGAGAGAAGAGAGAAGCACGCACGAGATTGCGAAATAGGGGGAGCGCTTACGTAATAATATACTAGATGGTTGTAACCCCTTTTGGTGTATGAAAAAGTCATGTGATGCCATCACCCGACGGTAAGATAAAATAAAGGGCTTTTTTGCTCTTGTGGATGGATGTTGATTAAGGAGGGAGGAGTGGAGGGAGGAGTGGAGAATGTTGGTTCAAATTTGTTTGGGCTGGACGGGAAGGAGGATGTTGCGTTTTAGGTACGGGGGATATCAATCAATCAATCAGCTGATAGGTACCTAGTTGGGATGGTGGCATGGATGTCACATGTGAATGATGATGGATTTTTCACATGATCGAGTTTGGAACGACAACAGAGGTTTGAGAAGAGCATCATGGAGATTCGTAGTAAGAAAAAAGAAAAGCAAAAATATTGTAGGTCCAAATCACAACATATCACAAGAATCAACCGCGGAGATTCCAAATCAAGGGAATCAAAAGTGGAGTTCCTATTCCTGAAAGCTACCTATGCTCTACCCATCTATCCACCATTTATTTTATCCCTACACGAACGAGATCCAAGCTCGTGTTTTTTTTCGCCCCGACTCAGGAACCGTGCCAAAAGAAAAAGAAAGGAGAAGAAAAATTCCGGTCTTGGGGTTTTCCAGGAAAAAAGGAACGCCGGTGGCTAAATGTGTGCTATGAATATACAGACTTGTGTTGCATGATCGATGAAGGGGAAGGAATAGGAAAATCATCATTAAAAGAAAGTGGAAGAAAAGAAAGGTCATTACTTGATCATCCCGGCGTTCTAAGCATGCCTCCCTCCTCCGCGCTATCCGTCCAACAATAAAAACCCGTTAAGAAGTGACGCCTGCGCCGACCGAGGCTAATTGAGCCTGTTGGGAGGACCATGAACTCTCATACGGGGATTCGGCTTCGCATTGGGAGCTTGGCGGGCCATCATCAGGGCCTCGAAGGCATCGATGCGTGATTTGAGAGCTGCGTTTTCTTTTGACAACGTTTTGTTCCGCTTCTCGAGGTGCGCGATGTATTCTGTGGCTTTACTGAGGACAGTTGCCTATAGGTGTACCATAATTAGTTCTCAGCCTCAAACCAAACGTAGATTATTTGTGTAGTGCTTGGGAAGAAGAAACTGACCTTGTTCAACTTATGTGCAGGCGTCAAACCCTGGAGATCCTCACGTATGATGTCCTCGCCCCGCGAGTTCTTCTTCGTCATCGCCCTCAGGCTCGGCACTGAGTCCCGCAGTGCGGCGATCTTATCGCTCAGGTTCGTGCGGTAGCGCTTCTCAATCATGTTGTGCGCGGTTTTCTTCACCGGTGGGTGCCGTCCGTTGCCTGAATGCTCCGGCGAGCCATACTCCTCATCGTCGTCGTCGTCGGCGAAGCTCTTCCGCTTCCGTTGGTTGGCATGCGGTTCGTCCGAGGATGACGCGGAAGGCGACCGCGGGTATGTAGATGGCATAGCCATGTCTCTCAGCCTGTTTTCTTGGGACTGGATGATTGTCTCGTTTCTGTTGTATGAATTCATACGTCTGCCTCCGGGACTTGGCCGTGACCAGGACAGAGGCGTCGAATATAAGCACTCTTCTGGGAAGTCGATGGGAGGCGAAATGAGAGAGGTAGGAGTTTGGAAGAGTGGCTGGTCCGTAAGAGGGTCTTCCCCAAACACGGCTGATGAATCCTCGAGGTTTGCTGGATTGATACAATTATCGCCGCCTTGCATGTCCATATTCCGCATGTTTGGGGTCACCAGTTTGCTTTTCGTCTCGGGGAAGAAGTCCCAGGTTGGAGATAGGCGCGTATCGATGCGGTTGTCCCAGCCTATCCAATCTTCTCCAAAAGTTTCCGGGTTGAAAATTTGATAAGAATTGCTGCTCTCTGGGGGCTTCGGATGGTGTTGGAGTGTGAGGAGCATATGAGAACGAGGTGGGAGAGCTTGGCAATACGATGATAGTATCGCAGGGATCGAGATCGCCTGGGCGGGGGAGCTTGCGAGAGCTTCTGAACTAATTCCGCCCCAGACACGTGGAGAAGTGGAGAAGATAGACTAGAAGAGGTTAGGAACCAGCTAATAGAACGTGGTCTGGACTCTAAAATGAGCAATTATCAAACCTCTTACGCCTCTGATGGCCAAGGAGAAGACGGCAGAGAGGCCCTGGGTTTCTGATGTCGTCTTGTGAAAGCTTGCTGGCTTACCTTGTGGTCTTTGCGTTGCCAACGAGAAGTAATAAACAGCTGACTCCTGGCACACAGCGCTGGACAGGAGAATAATCAGAGGTTTCTATCAAGTCAATCGCGGAGATAATCGCAATGATGTAACACTGGAGGCTTGAAGAATAATGTCTCTTTAAAGTTGCGGCTGGAAGGTTGCTCGGTATAGGTCAATTGAGTTGTCAAGATTAGTTATGCGACTCGCGAAACTGAGGCACGACGGCCTTTTTGATATCTAGATATCTCTTACCGCCTCACCACCACAAGTCCCAACGCATACTCGGGACCGACAAACGGGAAGCAGGTTCTGGAGGCACATGCACTGGAATCCCGATTCTTTCCCCAGTATCGTACGAGTATCATGACCACGAGGAGGCGACTTGAACACAGCTGTGGGGATGCGAGGCCTAGAATGGGAAACCCCTCGGCCGCACGCGAAGTCCAAGAAGCAAGAGAGCAAGAGACAGCGGGGACCTCCGAAGAGGCCCTTCGTTGGTTGAGGTAAGGCAAGGAGCTCTCAACTCATACTTTTCCCTATATTGGACCTTCGAGCCAGATGCCAGATGCCAGATGGGCCGATGCCAACTTCGTCGGGACAGTATTCGGCCGCCAAATTCGAGCGCGGACAGGCCGGAATTGAATTGATGCGCCTGAGGGAGAGGGGCCTCTGTGGCGACGACAGCAACGACAGGTTGCCCATTGGACGGAATTGCCAGGAGAATTCGGAGAAAGGGGTTGTGTGCAGGAATGGCTCTTGTCTGAAGGCGATGTGGGCTGATTCTTAGCAAGAGGGGACAGGGTTGTCCAAAGCCATGCAAGGGTCCGGATGTCCTGTCATGACGGCTTCCATTGTGATTACGGACAGACTACGTAACAGGGTTGATTCGACCAGCTCGACCACCTCCGACCTGCGAAAAGGGACGGCGGGGGAATGGACAGCCAATGCTGGGTTGAGAATTGGAGCCGGTTGGCGGTAGAAATTGAATATAATTCCTGCAGCAGAAATGACAGCTTTAGACGGGCATTCAAGACATGTCGTTGAAAAGACAAGGGACCGTGTCGTCATTCGCACCGGCCCAACCGTCAACTACCGAGGCTAGCCCCAATCTATCGAGACCCCCCTGGGATTGATATTTTACCGCTCTGCCGCTGCCCTGCGCTGTCATGTAGCCTTACAAGGATGCTAAACACACCCTGGATATTCATCAGATGGGTTCTGTCTGGACCCTTCGATTTACCATTTACCAGGCACCGAAGGTTATCTCCGTAACCCGTGACTCCGGTGGACTTTCTAAAAAGAAGCTTGATATTAATAACACGGACAAGGCACTAAGATGACGGATATTCAAATACTAAGGACAGCCAAGACATATAGCATAACGAGATAACAATATATCATTGTCAACTCCATTTGGTTGATGAGTGATCAATACCGCCGCTCCGCGCTTGTACTATGGAGGGTAATTCATACATATTTATATCAGGCCCTCCCACCCCGTCTTCGCGGCCCACGATATTCATGTGTACGTCTCATTCCTTCGTCGACACCGGTACCCGATACCGATGCTACATTCTCCACAGGACATGACACAGCGCTAAAGCCTTCAAAGCCCCTCTCTCACTCCCAATTTCCGTTGTGAAAGACCCTGAGTTTCAACTCGACTGAGGCAGGATCCAAAATGCTCTCTCCCATCTTCTCAAGCCCAAACTGTCTCACCTGGTCGTAACAAGAAACCCGGGTACCTGATGGGCCCCGCCAGCGTCAAATGAAAATACACCTCCTCTAATTCCGGATTTTCGGATACTCTCTTCCCCGTTCTCTTCCCTATCCATGGTTTGGGATTCATTTGACCCGAGGGGTGGGTGCTGTACTCCTGCCAACCCCCCAAACATTTGGCGTGTAGTAGTCGCACCTACCAATCTCTAACTCCGAACCCCCTCGGCGACCCCATCGATGATCAATCCATTGAGGGCTTGAATCCTGACTGCTCCAGCATCGTGTTAACCTCCAGCAACGGCCTCCCTTGGAAAGGAAACGGCCAGAATAATGGGTTTTCATCATCCACCTTCACAGGTCCTATCCCACTAACCACATCCTGAAATCGGGCATTCGGACACCAGTAGTTCGAGCTCGTGGTACTCGGCCGACAAATCGCCTCCAGGTCCTCTTCCTCATCGTTACCATCGTGCTTGAGTGGAATGTTGATGTGCCAGTGCTGGTTAAGAAAGGCAATAATCCGGCGCGAGCGCTCCGCGAAGCCGTGACACGGAGTCATGGTCTTGAGTATCGACATTCCTTGCTGCAGACGCTCTGCGGTAGCTCGACCGTTGCCAAAGGTCACAAGATGCGTGATGGTAGAGGTGAGGACAAAGTAGGGGACGAAGGAGGGCGTTCGGCGAAGGGTGTACAGCTGATCGTAGGAATTCAGCAGCGTGGAGATGGCCTCGGCGGCCTGCTGGCATACGTCACGTGGAGATATCCTCGATCCAACGATGTCTAACTTGATGAACGGGCGGAAGAGAAGTAGGATTGCATAGTGATAATACATACTGCAGTTTGTTAGTATCTTCCTTGGAACGGTTCCGAAGATTTGGTACGTACTGGACGAAGAGGACAGCGGGGGTGAAGTTATGCCCTAGTCTCAGAGCCTCTGGGATCGAATCGTACCATCGGAGGTATTGTGTGTATACACGGAGCAGCGATTTACTCGTGACGTGGTTTCCAGGTGTATATAATGCATAAAGGGATTGGTGAACAATCTCTGAAAGGTCACAAAATGTCTTGTAAACGCCCCAAACGTTCGACGGTTGGGTACAATTGCGCTCCAGTGGTGCACCTAGATTCAGATTAGTATTTCTTGCCCATAAGATTTGAACAGGTCATCACCATCATCTGTGTATGGAATCCACGGTGAAGCCTCAACTTCTGGCGAGGTCATTGGTCTTGCGACGGATTTCATGCCATGTGAATAGTGTGGTAACCTTCCGATACTGAGGGACCAACATCTGATATATAAATTAGCAGCCAGGCAGGGTTGTTTATATAATCCACTTACTGATCAAGTGAAAATGCACCCCAGAATGTTGCAGATCGTACTGAAGAGTTAGTTGGGTCATCACCCTGCATCTCTAAGTGGAGTCCCATCTCGACGGCAAGCCGTATAGACTGACCAGAGTAGTAAAGACTTTTGCTACAGTGACCTCGACTGGCTTCCCGAATAGACATCAGACCGAGGGCTTGGATCGTCGTCAAGCGATGATGGTCCTTCTCCTGATCAAGAAGTCTCTCTGCTTCGGCGAAAAAGTGGTCTCCTGCAGTACTACTGTCATTTGGATCTTTCCGAGCAGCAACTTGTGAAGAGAACCTACAGCCCGCTGCAAGCATAGCATTTACCAGTAACGATGAACAGTACCTCGGAGTGGCTGTGCGGAAGTCCTCCAAGAAATGTTCCTTGTTCAGAGTGGCAAAGGTTGGATATTCCCAGCAAAAATATAAAGCCATCAGATGTTCTACGAGGGCCATATCAGTGGTCACCGCCGTCCAAGTTTCAGTATAATCCGGGTCTTGTGGATTGCCAAGTCCATCGCCTAGAATGGTCCCTCTGCCCTTGCTCCTCATAGCCCGTGTCATGGCGTCTGGATGAGACTGACTACCAGACTGTTGATGATGCCATGTTGCAACCAGCGGAAAACCAGGTTGCTGGGGAGATACTTGCGAGACATCGGGGCTCCATTTCATCATATCATTTGATTGAGGTGCATCCACTTGTATTGACATGCTATCTTCGCCTCCCGTTTCGGGCCATAAGCCAGACCTCTGCCGGGTCTGCTGTGAAGCATCGCCGTAAGCGTTACCGAGCCCGGTGGTAGGGTAAGGCGGGCTTACAATGCTACGAGCTAACTGTAAAGCGTTTCCAATCGCCTGTTGGTCGCTATTTTGGGAATATGTCGTTACAAGACTACCTGGAGTTAGATCCCTCGACTTCCCCTTATCCAGATTCTCCAATATTGCCTCGAGAGTTTCACCGCTGCGAAGCTGATCGAGAACCTGCTCTGACTTGTCGGATGACATCAGAGCAGCGAGGACGCGTTCGTTAAGGAATTGTTGCGCCTTGAGCTGCTCGATCTCCATCCGCATATTCTCTTTCGATTGTCGGATGGGGATCTCGTAGACGCATTTAACCCCAATCTGCGATGCACATCTGGCGCATGGAGCTTGGCCATCGCACTTCACCGGGGGTTAGATAGTCCTTGAGAAGTGGGTATTGATGGAAGACATACTTTTGCTCTTTTCTTACGGCATTCAGTGCATGCGTTGGGCGTCACCACTCCAAGACCTCGACGTCTCTTCGAGGCAGCGTAATCCTCCATCCCGTATCTTTGGTCTTTGGGTTGGAGGGGACAGCCGTTCGATGACCATGATAGGGTCCAAACCGAGCTGGCCGAGCGTATCTAGCAGAAAAAAAAAGTTGACTACTTGGTTTTCTAGAAAAGAGGAACAGAAATTGATGTAGATGTTTATATATAAATATAAATATCAGAAAGGAAGGAGGTCAGGTGATAGTGTAATATTTGTGAACTTAGGACACGGCGGCCTCTTCTCATCTTCCTCAGAGCCAGGGTTCAAAAATGACGTCGCGGGGATATCATATCTTGATATGTGTACTCCGCATGGTGGATGGAAACTCGAGGAAACCAAAGGAGGGGAAAGATGATCAATACTGCACTGGGACGGTGAAATTGCGAATCTGCACGGGTTGTGCCAATAGACGACAAGGATAGGGCAGGGCTGCGACTGCTGAGGTATCTCCGCTCTGCCAATAAAAAGCAGGAAGTGTACGCCGCTTCAGAGGCGCTTGCCTTGCCATACGGAGTAGCATCTTTCTAATATCACCCCTCGACGACCTCAATCCCGGACTCCCGGTGGCGATACGATTTTACTCCGTAGAGCAGTGCCTTTGCAAAACTGTGCCAGGGATTCGCCATCGTTGAGCAGAGCAGTAGTAACGCGGCATCTAGTCCTAGCTAGTCAATATGTTCTCCAGGTGTGTGAGAGTCTATCCGATGGTAGAGTGTGCGATGATAAACGTGGTGACGATGGAATAACCTTGGAAGACAATATCCGGATGCTCGCCCTATTTCTTACCTTACCTAAGGCGCATGTGATCTTTCACGTGATGCGAATCGCTTGGACCTCACCTCACCTCTGATGGCTGACCATCAAGTCTCACCCAACGCCTCGCACGTTCTCACCGGCATAACCCCTCTGCTCACCGATCTCGAAATGGCCCCGAACGTCCTTCCGGTATCCGAAGTGAGGCGTCAGGTTGAGGTATACTGCCTCACAAATCATCCACTTTTCCTGCACGCCTTTCGGTCTTCCAAGTCACAACCAGCAGCGTTTTGACATATCATACATATTATTTTAAACTTTTTACGTCTTAATCTCCTATTCCTAATCTAGCGAATGAAATGTTGTCCCATTGTAAGACAATTGAATATCCTAACCTGTTTCTATTCTCCATCTCTTTCAATATCTTAACATTTCGATTTGAACCTGAGATTTAAGGTTAGACAATTATCCAAAACCAAACGGAAGTTGTCACTCTTCTACGTTCTTCTAATTCATTCTTTTGGACCTGTAAATAAGTAGCATCTAATCACGGGTCCTTTGATAGGATATATATATTCCATATTTGGGAAATCGAGTCATGGAGAATAATGAGGTAGGAGAATCTCTTATCAGATTGATCAATTTGCCCCGAGAGTGCTAGAAGAGCTCCAATAGAGCTGATGGAAGAAGCTCCAGCCAGGCCATTAGCAGGCACTACCTATCGACCTTCTGTGGAGAGCTTAACAGGATCAGGTGATAATCAGGGTGCCGACGTCTTATCTAGAACAGCGAGGATTTCCGAGTTAGATGTTCCCATTCGAGGCTCTACCTTCTTTCACTATAACCCATCTTTCCTCAACTCCACGCTCTCCTCGTTCTTCAGACATGAGAACCCTGGTCCCTTAGTAATTAGACTGATACCTCGTTCCGTTAGTCACTTGTTAATTCTCGTTGTCACTTACTGATTTTCGTTGTCATTATTTCCTTTTGCTGTCATTCTTCCTCAACTCTCACTTTTATTTCCAGCTTTCACCAATCTTGATCGTCTAATTGGCAGGCAGGGAGAGGAGTTTGTTGACCTTGTCTATATCCTTTGCGACGACGCAACGATAATCATCACGCTAGAGAAGGATTTTCCGGAAAGCAGAATCGCGGTCTTGAGGATCTAGTAAAAACGTAGCCACAGTTTCTACGTTTTGGTTTCGCTTTTCAAAAGGCGAAGGTGTAATGGCACTTCTGCTGCTCAAGAAACACAAAGTGTGAAAGGCGTTTGGTGTGCGCTGAAGTGAGGTGAAGTGGAGTGAAGTGACGGAGAGATGTTCGTAGGCGATGATGGAGCTATATTAATCCGACCCGTTCGACTTGCGTTATTCATCATCAGGGTCCCGAGTAAGCCGCGGGATTGGCGACCCAGAGGCTATGCATGGACTGAGAAATGGGAAATTCCAGTTCTACCGTTGAAGTCCACTAATAGACATGATAAGATATTGCACTGTCAATCTAGACACGAAGAGCCTTCGCCTACGGGGCCCGATTTGGCCAACCCCCTTGATCACGTGAAACATATCGTTCAACGGTTGGACGACCACCAACCATCGATGCAACATTCCTTGCACAACCCCCCGACACACCGCAGGGAGATGAGCCGTATCACTGGTACCACTGGTATTCAGCCTCGAGATGCCTCCCCAGCGCCATCTACCGGCATCTCCGCCACCTCGGGTGCGCCAACGCAGCCTTCGCGCCTGCGCGCCCTGTAGGAAACGCAAGATCAAATGCGATGGTGCAGATCCGTGTGCAGCATGCTCCGGGTACGGCTATGAATGCGTATATACCGACCTGCCAGGGCGGCGGACGCGCGCAGCTACAGACATGGCATCGCCCGTGACGACGCACCCAGCGCGCGACGACGACGGCGTGGTGAGCGCCCCCGCGGCGACGACGACGACGTGGGCACCGGCCGAGAAAGTCGACGTGCCCTACATGGCGACCGAGAGCATTATGCCGGAGTCTCGAGGCCACCCGCCGTCCGTCAAGACACGCTTCACGAGCGCGTACAGCGCTGTAGCTTGGCCGAAGCGGCTCGGGATCAACCTGGGCATGGCCAACCCGCCGCGGCTACAGGCCTTCGGCTGGAACACAGGTACCCGACCCGAGGTGACGCCCGTGCCGACGAGCTCGATCTGTAACATCCTCTCGCTGGAGGAGGCCAAGCACTTCGCCGACGTCTACTTCAAGGAGGTGCATCCCTACTTTGGAATCTTGGACCCGGAAATGTTCAGGGAACGTTGCGATGACTTCTGGGCCTCGGCCAGGCAGGGCACGGATTTCGAGGCCTGCGTCTGTGGTGTGGTGGCTCTGGGCTGTTATTTCTCAGTCTCGCCGCCAGCTCCTCCTTCTCCGGTGGAGGCCCAGGTCGTGGAGCAGGGGAGGATCCTGCTGGATCTGAGCTTTGCTCATCCACCGGTCATGATCTCGGTGAAGCACGTGGTGGCATGGATTCTACGAGCTCTATACCTACGGCTGACGACGAGACCACACGTCTCCTGGATTGCATCGTGCAACGCCGTCCACATTGCTGAGGCGATTGGGCTTCATCGGGAGATCAGTGAGTTTCAGCTGAAGTCCGACATGCCGCGCCAGATCACCCAGATGGAAGTTGATCATCGACGAAGGACTTTCTGGGTGGCGACGGCCCTCAACCAGTTTTTTGCGTCGGAGTACGGCCGCACAAAGGTCCAGATCGATCTCATCGGATGCCAGCCCCTGAGTGCGACCGCTCAATCTGGCGACATGACTGCCCAGACGGTAGCCATACTGCAATCTGCACCTGGGCAAGCTCTGCTCGGGAGACCAGTAGAGCTATTGGGATCACTGGCAAAGGCCATGGCGCTACCCGCGAAGTCACCATTCCTTGCGCTCGTCAGAGCAGATGTATGTTTCTGTATCTATCGGATGATGTCTTCTACAAACTCGCGTTTCCCTTCGGAGCAAATCCCATCGTTTTTGAATATAATACGGGTCGCCTTGGACGGAGTGGTGTTTCTCAGCAGCTTGAAGCAATCCTGGTGGAATGTTGTCAGCACCCCACTACAGTGTGTTGGGGTACTCTTGTCGCTAGGAACAACAGAGAGCTTGAGCATGATTCCTTCAGCTCTGGAGACATTGAAAAACATCACGGCAATCTATGATTCGCATCTCTCAAGAGAGGCTCTGAGCACAGGGTATGCGCTGGTACAAGCAGCCCGGGAGCAGAGGAGCAAACAGCTGGAAAGCCTGGATCGGGGCCTTGACGTTGTCGGCGAGGTGTCACAGAGCGCAAGCAGCATCATCACCACTCCGGGCGATGAGTTCCAGTGGCCAATGGATAATGATCTAGGATTCTCAGATTTTCTTGACCTGAGCAGCTACTATAACCTTACGGATCGAGCCCTTGCCGGTCCAGCTCCTTAGCCGCGACATGTCGGGTGCAAATCAGAGCATGGTAGAGGAGCCCAACATGGGTTCTCCAACGTGTTATATCGAATGCGAAAGCGACAACGAAAACTGCATGATCCAGTAACTCCATGATTCGCTGATTCTGGGGTAGTGGAGCTGAAGTTTAACTCCGTATTTGTTGCTGCGTAGGGCTATCCCCGGACGGACCGTGGGACGGGCCGCCCGGATCGGGCGGAGGATCGCTTTTACATAATCTTTCGCGCCGCGATAAAGATTAAATAGGTATGAGAAGGACTTTTCATTTTCTTTTGAAGTTTGTATAAATTGTTAATTGCTGCGTCGGTGTAGACTTGCACTTGTATGTTTCTCTGTATCTCTCTGTCTTGATCCTGAAGTTGACGGCTCCCCCACTCTAAGCCGCGAATTTATGCCTGGGACTCTAATGCGAGTTGAACATAGAAAGGAAGATATTTCACCGACAGGACTTCTCACGTGAAAAGGATACCGAGACTTGAAGGGTCTATTATTTAAATTTATTTCTGTTTTCTCGAACTTGGGAACAGTCTAGAGTTATAATTCGGGAACCCCCTTATATCTCTTGACTCGCCCAATGTCTACCGAGACGGCTTCTGGCGTCCTTCCAGACGAGGAGAAACAACAACCCGAGAAGCAATTGCAGCCTGACAGCAGCGAAGATGAATTTCTAGTTGGTTGGGATGGTGAACATGACCCTCTCAATCCTCGGAACCTTTCCCTGGTGCGGAAATGGCTTATTGTGATCATTATATCAATGGGAAACTTGCTTGTGTGAGTGCTACTACTCCTGTTCGTCACGAGTCTATGCTGATATTCCACAGAACATTAGCCTCATCTATTTACTCGGAATCTATTGTACAACTCAAGGAACGCTTCCACAAGTCCCAGGAGGTTGTAACGCTTGGCTTATCGCTGTTTGTTTTTGGGCTGGCAGTTGGACCCATGGTTCTAGGTCCACTATCTGAGGTCGGTACCTTTCATCTCCTTGAAAGATCCATTCTGACAGAGTCCAAGTTCTATGGCCGAAGACCGATCTATATTATATCTGTCTTCTTTTTCATCATGTTCTTGATCCCCGAGGCCGCAGCGCAGAACATCCAGACTATTATCGTTGGAAGATTCCTGGATGGGATATCTGGGAGTGCGTTCCTGAGTGTCGCGGCCGGCACGGTAGCAGACCTGTTTGAACCCTCCCAGATCCAGCGACCAATGATGCTCTACACCCTCGCCCCATTCCTGGGTCCCGTGCTCGGTCCCCTGGTTGGAGGGTTCATCAATTCCTTCACCACATGGTAATGTCCAATCTCTCGCGGTAGAGGCTAGCCCGCTAACAACTTCATAGGCGCTGGTCCTTCTACATCCTGATCATCTGGGCCGGCGTTATCCTTGCCTGCCTGGTAGCCGTACCTGAAACCCTGCACCCCGTCCTGCTCGCCCGCAAAGCAGCGGCGCTCCGCAAAAGCACCGGCAACCCCGCCTACCACTCAGCATCTGAAGACGCCCGCGCCCAGAAGTCCATCCCCCGAGCGCTTATGAACTCCATCTACCGGCCCTTCCAGCTCCTGCTCCTAGAACCCATGTGTCTGAGTCTATGCATCTACTCTGCCCTCCTCCTCGGCATCCTCTACCTCTTCTTCGGCGCCTTCCCCCTCGTCTTCAGCACCAACCACGGCTTCACGCTCTGGCAAACCGGTCTCACCTTCCTCGGCCTTGTCGTCGGCCAGATCGCCGCCATCCTAACCACCCCGTTCTGGCAGAAGAACCACGCTCGCCTCGTCGCCAAAGCGAACGCCAACCTTCCCGAGGGTGAGAAGCCCCCCAAGCCCGACCCCGAGCTACGTCTCCCGCCCGCCATCCTCGGGGGCGTCCTCGTCCCCATCGGCCTCTTCTGGTTCGGCTGGACCACCTACCGCTCGGTCCACTGGATCGTCCCCATCATCGGCAGTGTCTTCTTCGGCGCTGGGTAAGGACCCCCCTTCCCTCGCACCACTCCCATTTTCTAACAACTAGAAGCATGTTCTTCGTCTTCTCCGGCGTCTGGACTTTCCTCGTTGACGCATACCCCGGATACGCCGCTAGCGCGCTCGCCGCCAACAGTTTCGCGCGCTGCATGTTCGCTGGTGCTTTTCCTCTCTTTGGCGATCAAAGTTCGTCCCCCCCCCCATCCCTCCCCCCCTTTATTCCCCCTAGACCAACTAACACCCCCCAGTGTATAAAAAGCTCGGCTACCAATGGGCCACATCCCTCCTAGCCTTCCTAGCTCTCGGCATGATGCCATTCCCGTACGTCCACTTTCCCCAGCCCCCCCACTTAAGCATAATCGAGAAAACTAACCGTCCCTATGTGCGATATACAGATATCTCTTCTTCCGCTACGGCAGGATCTTGCGCGCGAAGAGTACGTTCGCTTCTGCATAGGTCAGTCAGCTAGAGCGAGCGAGCGTGCCATCTCGAGTTTATCTTGGAGTGAGCTCGAGTGAGCTCGAACACGTGTGTGTGTGTGTGAGAGCCGGTGTGGAAAGTGAAGAAGAAGAGGAGATTGATCTATCTATCTATATAATCCATTCATCCATATTCTATACCCGTTTAATCATCCTCCTCATCATCAGGCAAAACAAAAAGAAGACATCAGAAAAATAGAGATTTTTCAAAGAATTTAGAAATATTATTTATATCATGTATATATATGTATGTACCTACTTATAGTTCAGTACTATACAAAGGTTCGGGAATCGATCGATTGATCGGTGTGAGTGTTTAAATTCTGATATAATTGCGGATTCGGGTAGAAAAGGGGAGTCAAGAAGCGAGCGAGCGAGCGAGCGATACACAAGTTAATATTCAAATCAGACAACCATCTAGATCTAGCCATGCGCGCAAAGCAAAAGGTATCTTTCCTTATATTTCCAATTCGTAACGGGTCATAAAACATCTACATATGTATCATCGTCATCGTCATCATCATGTTTTTTCATCATCGTGATATCCCATCCGTATCCGAATCTTCCTTCCCAGAAGCAGCAGCAGCAGCTATGTTGAAATACGGATGGGTGGTTGGGTTCATCCCGTACGTGTTGGTTGCCCGTCGTGAAATCCAAAAGAAAATAGGTAAGAAGAAAAGTGACAATAGGAGAAAGCCGCCGTGCCGTGCCGTACCATGCAAGCAATCGTCAAGCGCCATCATCTCTTCGTTCAAACTCCGCGTTTACCAAATTTATCCAATGGTCCTCCCATGTGGTAGGTATTTACCTGAGTGACCGACGGGGCGGGCGTCGCCCATCGTATATGATCTCCCGCTCTATGATCCTCTCATCTTCGTATTCCGGTAGAGCCCTTGATCTTCTTCGCTCGATTCGCTCCCACTCCTCGCGTTCCCGTTCCCTCTTCTCCATGCGGGCGCGCTCTCGCTCGATCTCGCGGATCCGCTCTTGGCGTTCACGGCGGATCTGCTCCGAGAGTTTGACTAGCTGGAGGACGTCTTCCTTTGTGGTTGTTAGCAATTGCCTGCGACATGTGAGGGGTAGGGGGACGCACATAACGTAGGTACTGAAGAACATAGAAAAAGTATTCTGTCTCCTCGTAGTCATAACCGAGTTGCTGGATAGCTTCCGCCACCACGAGATCCTTTGTGATTTCTGTCCAGAGATCACCGACTCGATTCTTAGGGGCTCGCGGCGGGCCGAGTCGTCGATCGGAAGATTCCTCGATCCGCTCGTATTCGCGCTCCCGCTCGTAGACCCCGCTACCTTCTCGTCGTCGGTTTGAAGTTGAGATCTGAATCTCTAACCCGGAATTCTCTCTCCTCGGCTCCTCAATCCTCCTATCTTCTCTAATCTCCACCCTCTCCCGCTCCCGCTCAGGCTCCCGTTGAGGAATGAACTTGGATCTCCGAACGCCGTTATATCGCTGCCAGGTAATCTCCTCCGACCCACCTCCAACACCGTCCATCCTCACCCTCTCTGTTCCAGGTGGGACATCCACGATGGACCAATCCTTCGTGGCGCCATTGTAAGCTTCTCCAATATACGCCCTCTCATCCATCTTTCGGTTATAGTAATCAGCCTCGTTCTCATCATCCCTGATATCCATATGGATTGTGGGTCTATAACCTGGTCGTGCACTCAAACTCCTCCGCCTATTGATCGACAGCATGTTATCGCGCACCTTGAGCTTGTCGTGCTCTTGTTCATAGATGACGGTATCATCATAGTAGTTGTCGCGGCGTGGTGGTAATGAGTTCGAGGAGGCATGGGGGGAGGCTTGGGGCGTGCGAGAGCGATTCTTTGTGTGGATATCAACTTCGGTGTTGTTCCGCGAGGTGTAGATGTCGATATCTGTTTCTTTGACGCGAGGAGGGGAGCTGCGGCGGGGTGGTGGAGGTGGGGAAGGCACGCGAGCGCGAACTTCATAACCTTGGGATCTAAGATTAGAATGGATTTCAATAGGACAGAGATCGCAAAACGTACCATGATCAATGTGTCTATGATGGGTAATGACTTCCTGGTGGATCGGGGGAGCGCGGATAATTGGGGGCGGGGGAGAAGGCGATGGTGAAGGAGAAGGGCTACGGGATGGTCGTCTCTCCTCGCGGGTCTCGGTGATTCGAATACGCTCAGAGCGGACTGGGGAAGGACTTCTTCCCCGTTCCCGCTCAATGATCCTCTCACGATAACGAACGGGGGACGGTGAACGTTCTCGTACTGGAATCCTCTCCCGGGTTTCAATAACTCGTGCGCGAAGTTGTTGAGGAGGTGGGGAAGTTGATCGCTCCCTCTCCCGTTCTATGATCTTCTCCCGATATCTAACGGGACTTGGAGATCGCGGTCTGCGTTCGAGCGGGCGGCTGAAAATATCTTTGTCCCGCTCCCTCACTACCAGCGTTCCTCCTTCGTTTTTGCCATAATCTTCTCGTAAGAAATCCAACCGACGATCGGGTTCCCGCCTCTCCCGCCGGATGAAGTCGATTTCTTCATAATCTCGGTCTCGTTCACGGACCTGCACAGGTGGTCGTCTTGCTGGCTCTTCGCGGATAAATGTGTCGCGCTCCTCATAGACGCTATCTCGATCGCGGGGTCGTGATGGTGGAGGTCTTGATCGCGGGGCCTCGTCGCGGATATAGGTATCACGCTCCTCGTAGACACTCCCACCTCGTCTAGACATGGCTCGTATGTTGCAAGCTTTGGTTGTAATTAAAAAGGAGAAAGAACGAAGAAGAGGGAGTACTGTTGGAAGTGAGAGCGATCGAATGCAAAATACTCAAGAGTGAAGGATGGGGCTCATGTGCAAGGTATGGGTATAGTTCGATGGGTCTTTCGAATGGATTCCTGCTTGGAGGGATGACGACGGGAGGCACTTGTCAGGCAAAAGAATGCAGGCAAAAGAATGGTGCGCGGTCACAGGCCAGGAATCATGGATGTAATGTGAAACTCGCGCCCACCAGGCCGTCCCCTCTCGAGTCTCGACCGGTCACTGGCCCGCTAAAGCCAGAAAGTCAAGCGGATGGGGGGCACGCGGTGCAGGGCTCTGCAGAGTCTCCAGAGGTCCAGGGAAGAGCAGGCTGCGGCTGTCTTTCTTCTCTCTCTTCCCCACTCGCTATTCGTCTTGTCGAGACCGAGTAGGGTTGGAGAGCTGTCGAATCAGGCAAAGGGCAACTTGCGAGGAGCTGTTGAGGGCAATTCCGGGATAAAGGTCTTGGAGGATGCTGAACTAACCTCTGGACTCTGGAGACATTTGTTTGTTTGTTGGTGGTTGAAGGGACGGGCCGGGTTCTGGTGCGAGGAGGGGGAGGGGAAGGCGATTCGGATTCTTGATTCAAAGCGGATCCTTCCGTCGCTCGCCTGCATCACGTGTTCGCCTCCAAGCCACCCCTTTCACGATCCTTTGCGCAGCGCTGAGCTATTCCTGTCCTCCTGCATCCATCATCCATCCTCGCTCAATCATCTTCAGCGGCGGTCAAGGACAGGATCTCAGGTATTTATTTGTATCATGGCGCGGCCTCGCGCTGGCCTCTTCCCAGAGGAGTGCAGCAGCTGCGAAAGATCAACGCCCAGTCCTCTGCACATCCATTCCTCTAGCATCAGCCTCCACGAGCGTCAATTGGCACGCAACAAGTGTTTGCAAAAATCTCTACACGTTTCTCTTCATGGGAGTATTATCAAAGACGATCCCATCTGATCGCTTTCTCAGCGTCAACCTCGGTTCAATAAGCCACCGAATACGCCGTCTCTGTGCTTTTATCAGCCGGAACAATTCGAGAGTGGATGATCGTCCCCTCCCCGCAATATGCAACGTCGTAGATTATCCAGTCTCCAAGCAGGGGCATAATCCTATAACCACGATGAAGCTTCACCTCCCTGAGTGCCGTCGTAAGAAACAACTGTCAAAGTCAACGAGATAGTTGTCTCGTCGTACCGTCATTCGAGGCTTTCTTAAAAAGATACCCAGATTTCCATCGAGAAACCCTGCTGCGATCATGCGCATCTTCTTTCTGCTCAGCGTGCTTTCCATGGCGTTACTATCAGTTCAGGGAAAGGGCCTCTGGTCGAGCACTCCAGCCGCTTTTGAAGATCTTACCAGAGAGACTTACCCTATTGGTAATGGCAGGTTAGGAGGTATGAAATGACCCCCTCTGTTGCGCTCACGGGATATTTACCAAATGCGTCAAGCTATGCCGCTTGGTCCCCCAGGGGCTGAGAAGGTAGTTCTCAATATTGACTCGCTGTGGTCCGGTGGCCCCTTCGAGACAGCTGTGAGTTGGTCTCGTGTCTCTTGTAAGAACTGGGCTGAGAATCTGTCATCAGAATTACACGGGCGGGAACCCAACTTCCCCGGTCGATGAATACCTCCCCGGGATTAGGGATTGGATTTTCCAGAATGGCACGGGAAGTATGCTCTCTCCCCCACTCTCCATTTCCAAGTCTATCTTCTACTAGACTGCATATTCCAATGGCCAAACTTCGCACGTCCCATGAAACCTGACGTTCCTTAGACGTCTCCCAGCTTCTTGGAAATGAGAACAGTTATGGAAGCTATCAGGTGTTCGCCAATCTCTCAATTGCCATCGACGGTATAACGTCTGCAACCAGCTACAATCGATCCCTCGATTTCAGCAATGGCCTTCACACGACAACCTATACAGCAGACGATGGGAACCACTACACTTCAACTGTCTATTGCTCTTATCCTGACCAGGTTTGCGTTTACGACCTCTCTTCCAGCTCTCCCTTTCCAAACATTGCTGTCTCTCTGGAGAACCAACTTACCTCGGCGCCGTATTCCACATCTTGTGATGCCCAAGGTCAGTTTGTTGTCTTGGCAGGAGTCACCCAAGAAGGGCCACCTCGAGGTATGCAATATGAGGGGAAAGCTCGATTGATGAGTGGGATTAGGACAACGTATTGCAGTGGTTCTTCGCTGATTATACCATCTGACTCCACAACTCGGAAGTTTAGTCTTGTGATTGGTGCAGCTACCAATTATGATCAACTAGCCGGCAATGCTGCAAGTAATTTCTCCTTCGCCATGCCTGGTTCTGATCTCAGCCACACAAACCCCTTCCTGGGCCCAATTGTCACATCAATCACATCTGCAGCGATTGCAAAAGCCGAACGAGACATCCGACAAGCTCATATTGCAGATTACCAGGGCCTAGCTGACCAGTTCGCATTAGAACTTCCAGATATGGCTGGGTCATCTGGTCTGGAAACGTCGGTCATTATTGGCCGGTACAATGCATCGGGTCCCGGCGATCCATATCTCGAGTCGACACTCTTTGCTTTAGGGCGGCACCTCTTCATATCCTCCGCCAGAGACAATTCTCTCCCACCAAATCTGGCTGGCAGATGGAGTGAAACAATCGACGCTGCCTGGGGCGCTGATTATCATGCCAACATCAACTTCCAGATGAATCACTGGGGAGTTGACCAGACGGGGCTGGGAGACCTCCAGGTCGCTACCTGGAACTGTATTCAAAACGTCTGGGTGCCACGGGGAACCGAAACGGCACAACTTCTGTACGGGGCCCCCGGATGGGTCACGCATGATGAGATGAACATCTTCGGGCACACGGGCATGAAAAGTGTTGCTCAGTGGGCCGACTACCCGGCTTCCGCCGCGTGGATGATGCAGCACGTGTCCGACCACTTCTCCTATTCGCAAAACGTGACCTGGTTCCTAGATCAAGGCTACCCACTCCTGAAAGGCGTTGCTCAGTTCTGGCTTTCTCAACTCAAGCCCGACGAGTACTTCAACGACGGTACACTCGTCGTAAACCCTTGCAACTCTCCCGAACATGGACCCACAACCTTCGCATGCACACACTACCAGCAGGTAATCCATCAACTCTTCACTGATATCATCTCTTCGGAGCCTTTTCTACCAACTAGCGAGGCAGAGTTCATCGCCATTATCGCCAACGCCCTCTATACCCTCGACAAAAGCCTACATATCGGCAGTTGGGGCGAAATCAAAGAATGGAAGATCCCCGACTCTTTCGGGTACGACTTCGAGAACGACACCCACCGCCACCTCTCCCATCTTATCGGCTGGTATCCCGGCTATGGCTTCTCCTCCCTCCTGGGCGGCTACACTAACTCCACCATCCAAGAGGCAGTCGCCACGTCTTTGTACTCTCGCGGACCAGGGAACGGACCCGATGCCAATGCTGGCTGGGAGAAAGTCTGGCGCGCAGCATGCTGGGCCAGACTCAACAATACCGACGAGGCATATTTTGAACTCCGTTACGCAATTCACGAAAATTTTGCCGGGAATGGCTTGAGCATGTACAGCGGGAAAAGCCCGCCATTTCAAATCGATGCCAATTTTGGGCTTGTGGGAGCCGTACTGAGTATGTTGGTTGTGGATTTGCCGAACGATAATGGAGCGGAGCACAGGACGGTGGTGCTTGGACCCGCGATCCCCAAGAGTTGGGGAGATGGGTCTGTGAAAGGGTTGAGATTGAGAGGTGGAGGAAAGCTTGATTTTGAGTGGGACGTAGATGGTCTTGTGCTAAGTGCGAAATTGGCCGTGAGGGCGAATGGTCTTCGGATTGTCAATAAAAAGGGAACAGTGCTTGTGGAGACTTAAGATTCAGGATCGCTTGATCTCTGTCTCATACGGTTGAGTTCCCGAGAGTCTGAGTTCTCGAGGGTCTGAGTTCTCGAGGGTCTGGGTTCTCGAGAGTCTGAGTTCTTGAGATAGGTTCGAATACCGAGATATGTTGGATTTCCCAGACAGATCAGATTCACCAGACAGGTTGGATCCTTGAGATGAACTGCAAGTTCGACATGCCGTTGGCGATCCGTCCATCCTCGTATTTTCTGGACTGCTTCGACGGTCCGTACTGCTTGACGTGATCGGCAAATTAGATCCCAGATCACTGACCTCCGCTTTGTCTTCATCATTGCAGGCCACACCATCCGACGTTTTTGGGATATTTGGAGAGGCAATCTCGATGTCATTGTTTGCTCGGTTCGCTGTCGATAGGGTGTTGTTAGTGAGTGTCAGTGACAGTTGTGACGACAGATTTCCGGATCCAGAAGGGGTCTGGCGTTCGCCTTTCGAGTCCCATTCCGACGCACAGCCGCTACGCAAATATCTGTAGACGGATCGACCGCACGCTGCATTTGCCGCAATAATTCCAATATCGAGCTCCGCACTACAGGAAAGTTGATCAGTAGATTGTTCAATCAAAATAACGGCTATGGGCATGGAGTTTGTGAGAACTAACTTCGACCATATAGCGGTGATTGCGTATCTATCTGCGATCAACTGTTAGCTTTCCAGGTCATATGTGAAAAGAGCTGGGGACGTACAGGACAGGTCAGTTCTACTTGGCCCCAATGACGAAACTCTAGCAATCGCGCACCCGGTCGCTCTAGCACCACGTCAGCTCTTGCAGGGCAGGGAGAGACCTCGATCGCAACGTACACCAAGCCCAAACTCATCAGGCCACACAACAATACCTTGACCGGAAGAGCGATCTTAAGATTAATCAACACCAGGACCGGCAGCAATGAGCAGATCAAATCGGTGAGGATGGAATAGCCTCGGGGTGCGTCAGCAACCAGAACAATACGGGCGGGGATGGCAGCTGCGACGCACCAACTTGGACATAGATGGAGTAAATCCTGATCTGAGGGCTCCAGCAGGTGCCAGCCTCCGGCTCCCAGTACGTCTTGATGGGCGAGCATTCCGCGAGCAAGACGATGATGGGCTCGAGATTCGTGATGACCAACCCCGCCATCATGGCGTACAGCCACCACTCGATCGCCCGCGTCGAGAAGATGCGTAGCAGGAGAAGACAGATTAAATCTTCAGAAGGCAGATGGCCGGGAAGAGAATCAGCTGTGTGTACCAGCTCGACCGCACGATCCACTCGTACTGCTGGTCGCTCAGGTACCAGATATGCCGTCCATTCCCATGCTTCACGCCAACGATCTGCAACCCTATACGCGCCACGGCCAGGAGGGTAGTGATCGCGATCAGGTAATCGTCCCAGCCCAGCTGGTGATAGACTCTGCGAACCCAACAGCGCAAGGCAGTCATGACGATGGCGATGCTCGTCAGGGTGCACGTCAGCGCGAGAAGGATGATCCCCTTATTCTCATCGGGGGGCAGGGGGTCGGGCGGCGGGGATGTAGGGGCAGACATCGCAATCGAAGATACAACCCAGGCAGCGCAACAGAATCATGAGGGAGGGGGTAGTGAAGACAGGACGGAAGCGCTCATACACCCAGAACAGGAAAAGGGAAACCAGCAACCCAATATACTCCTCAACGCAGCTTCTGTCATTCTCCGCGGCTACCACGCCCTCTACTTCTAAGATCGGTCATTCTTGGTTTCTTTATATTACATCTTCAGCATCATGAAGAGCTCGGTACAGACATATATACCTCAGATACACAATGATGAAATGTCCTTTTTTGATGACCGTCCTATCCACGTGACACCCCCAGCCCACGACCAGCAGCCAATCAGAACGAGCCCTCCACCCCAAGAACCAGAAATCTAGAACCTTATTACGACCCAGCTCAACGAAACCTCCCGAATAGTTTAATTATAGCGAGACTCTAAGAGCAGAGCCTCGCCCGGTGACCCGCTTTCCGTTCCATCGGTCTCCACGTCCTGGCTTCGGCATCGGGATTCGGGACCGGCTGGTGCGGGTAAGGCGGTGGCGAAACGGATGTAGACAAGACGGTGGGAATAAGAGGCGGCCAGTCTGGTCTGATAGGCTTGATATTATTTCCGTGTGGGACGGAGGAGGGGGCTTGTAGTTTGGGTTATGGAGACGTAAAGAGGGATTTGGGGGGTGGTTCTGAATTCCGGTTCTGGATTTCTGGGTCTTTGATTTATTGTACAATGAACGAACGCGCTTGTTAAACAGGTAGAAAGAGTAAAGTTCAGCAACTAGCCAGATCAGATATCCTTAGGGGTTCGAATTTATTTCGGAAGAAAAAAGGGTCGAATTTTGTAGTTGAAAAGGTTGTTTATTAGTACGACGTCAGCTCTTTTAAGATAGGTTCTCTCCAGGGCCCAGGGTGGGCGGCCTCGGAGTTGTAATATCTGTACCTATGTATCCTTGTACCTGAGTCAAGAGCGGGTCCTAGGGACATAGGTTCTTGTTGACTTCGTTCCTGGGACAATTAATGTAAGAGGCATTCTTCAAGACTTATAGCCCTTGTTCTGTACCCCAGCTCTTGATCGCTCTCGATACGAGATGCGGGGTTTATCTGAGAAGTGGAGAGAGCTTTTTTCTTTTCTTTTATCTTATCTCCCCGTTTTGGCTCCTCTCTTCACTGCTGTGTAGTAGCATTGACTAGACAGGGCTCTATGCTTCCGTGGAGATGTAGATACATGCCTTCAGCTACAGCTTGGCCAGATGCGCCCCACACACAGATCGCTCATAAAACAGGGCAGATGGCGCTTCTCCAGGGTGTTGCAAATCCTACCTCCCTGAGTCCGACATCGTGAGTGTCACTGATGGCGCGGTTATCACAGTGTGCGGGCAGCGCCCTCTTCACCACCCACCTTCTAATCCTACTTTCAATATGTCAGTCCATCATAGCTGCCGAGTTTCAGGGGAAATGGGCCAACAAAACCTACGACTTTGTAAGAATTCCGCTGATCGCCAACCGTCCAACTCAGGACTTACGCCCGTGATGTAGATTGTGGTCGGAGGGGGTACTGCTGGTCTGGCAGTTGCTACACGCATCAGCCAAGGCTTGCCAGAGAGTTCCATCCTCGTCCTGGAAGCTGGCCCTGACGCAGTAGACGAGAGCAGGATCAACATACCCGGTCTCAAAGGCTCGACGATCGGGACTCAGTACGACTGGAATTTCACCACGGTCCCGCAGCCGCACGCAGGCGGGCGGAGGCTGGGCCAGGCCCGTGGCAAGGTCCTGGGCGGCAGCTCGGCGATGAATCTCATGACATGGGATCGAGCCAGTGCGCATGAGTATGATGTGTGGGAGGAGCTGGGCAACGAGGGCTGGAACTGGCGGACGATGATCAGGAATATGCTGAAAGTAGAGAGCTTCGTCCCATCAGATCGATACGGCAAGGCTGGGGTCGGCGAGGGCGGTCCTATCCAAACTCTCATCAACCGCTATGTCCCTCCGCAGCAGGACTATTTCATTCCGACCTTGGAGAACTTGGGCAGCAAGGCAAATCTGGAGTCTCTGGATGGAAATCCACTTGGAGTCATGTTCCAGCCTTCCAATATCCGAAACAGCGACTACAAGCGCTCGTACAGCGCTCATAACCCTGGATACGCTTCACTTGGCGGTTCGAACCTCCAGATCCAAACCAACACCCGGGTGCGAAAGATCAATCTTGACCAGCGTAGGGGTAGGCTTGTTGCGACGGGTGTGACGTTGGAAGACAACTCGACCATTCATGCTGAGAAGGAAGTCATCCTCTCCGCCGGTTCCTTCCAGAGCCCCGGCCTTCTGGAGCTGTCTGGCATTGGTGATAAAAGCATCCTTTCCGCGGCGGGGATTCCGTGCCTCTTGAATCTCCCTGGTGTAGGTGAGCACTTGCAAGACCATGTCCGGATTGAGAATTCATACCAGCTTCTGCCCAATTACACTTCGTTTGATGCTCTCAGATACAACACCACGTTTGCCGCACAACAGCTCGCCCTCTACAATGCCAGTATGATATCAGCGTATGATTATACCGGGAGCGGATATGCATTTGTGAACTGGAAGCAAGCTCTAGGCAATGACTCGGCCCTGCTCTCCCTTGCTCGACAAGCCGCCCACAACCCGCTCACCTCATCTCCATTTGAGCGCACCAGAGCCAAGATCCTCCTTGATTACCTGCACGACGAATCCAAGCATGTTCCGCAAGTCGAGGTGATCTTTTCCGACGGCTACACCGGTGTGAAAGGCTACCCACCCGTATCCTCCCCCCTCTACGGCGCCAGCTTCTTCACCCTGATCGCATCAATCCAGCATCCCTTCAGCCTCGGCTCCGTCCACATCACCTCGCCCTCCCTCACCACGCCTCCATCCATCAACCCCAACTATCTGGCCCAAGAATACGACATCCAAGCCACTATTGCCGCCGCCCAGTACCTCCGCCAGATCGCCAACACCGCGCCTCTCCGCGCCATCTGGTCCTCCGAGTACGAACCCGGCCTCGCTGTCGTGGGCAGCACCGGCCCCGACGCCGACTCCCAGTGGAGAACATACGTGACGAACAATAGCTTGACTATCTACCACCCGGTCGGGACGTGCGCCATGCTGCCCCGGAGCCAGAACGGCGTCGTGGATGCGGACCTGATGGTGCACGGCACGCGGAACTTGCGCGTCGTGGATGCGAGTGTGATTCCCGTGTTGCTCTCGGCGCATATTCAGACGGCCGTGTATGGGATCGCGGAGATGGCGGCGGAGAGGATTATCGAGAGTTGGGCTGGCTGATCAAGAGGCGTGTCTTGGATGGGCAAATGGATTTTCTATTGTGGCCTTGCTTCTCGAGTTGTACTTGTGCACCTACAACCCTACCGCAGTACGGCTTCATATGATATCATGCTTCAGAGCTCCTTCGGGGGAATTACAAAAATGTCTACGGGCCCTATATTAATGAGCAGGTGCTTCTAAGAGAGGTTTCAGCCCTATAACGCCATTATATTGTATTCGTTCTCAAAGAGATTCTCTTTCAACAATGTCAAGCAAGACTTCTGACAAAAATTAGGAGAGTAGTGACAAATCCTGCCAACCATGCAAGCGTCGTTAGTGGATCAGTAAGTCACATATTCTTTTGTATCCAATCCTATCATTGGTGGCTATTAATGGTTCTGTTGATACTTTGGTTCTGCTTGACTTCGGGCCGTAGTTGGCACCTGTCTATGTCTTAGCGGCTTCTGTCTACACATAACTTCCGTTGAGGACTTCGTGTCTTTTCACCGATATTTAGACAAAAGGTCATTTGTTTATTTGGGAGCTACCAGGTATGAGAGGACTGGTAAAGTTCTGTCTTGAGCAAGTTATACAGAAAATGGATTCCTGCGCACCTCAAGATCACCTTCCCTACTTACATATTTCAGCGAGCGTTTCTACGAAAGCCTCATTACATCCATGGCATATGCAATTCTCAACTTCCTTTAGCCAAAGAGAAGTCTCTAGACACTCGGTCATGAATTTTCCTCACACTTCTCCTCATGCGCCTTAGTGGGTGTCCATGGCCAAACCCTCGCTCCTCCATCTTGATCACCGATCCTCTTCTCTCAGTAAGACATTGCATCACGGGTTACAGCGCCAGCTATTTATCCCTCTGCCCTTTCCCTGGATCCTGACGGGTAGTGACGCCGATCTTGAGCCGCTTACCCTGTTCTCATCCCCGCTACGCCCATAGGGATTCTCAATTCTGTAAATTCTGTTGTTGATTCGCAAGGCAAACGTCCTAAGTAGGGGGGCTTTGAAAATGCCTCCTTTCCCATGCTCGTCCGGGTAAGGTTGATATCATCGTCCATCATAGTTGATAGCCGGTTCAACATCATCCTGACTATATATACCCCTAGCATAGAAGAAGACACATCACTATGCAAGAAGGCAAGGCAGGATGATGTATACCCACCGCATTTCCTCTCAACGATTGCCAGCAATACCTCGCACCATCGCGCCGCAATATGCTCACGATCCTCGTCCTGCTGGCGATCGCCCGGCTGGCGCACGCCCACACCGCCGCCTGGGCACCCGGCATGTACTGCCAAGGCACGGCGCAGAACTGGAACGTGCCTGTGAATCCCCTGTACCGACTCCCGGCGGACGACTGGTGGTTCCAGCACGATCGGGGATGCGATGCGCTGGAGCCGCCCCCGGGCGAGTTCCTCGAGCTGCCGGCGGGAGGCACGTTCACGGTGGAGCTGGCGCACAACAAGCTGCAGACGACGCTGGGCACGTGTCCGCCGGGGCTCCAATGCATGAGTGAGTGGCCCGATGGGAGGGAGCATCCGGAGAACTGGAGTCATCCGGACGGAGACCAGTTTCGCTGGCCGGTAGGCATGGGCGATGATGGGACGACGACGGGCATGGATGGGAAGGAGCATCGGATGGGTGGGATGGGCGTGGGCGGGATGGGGATGGGGATGGGGATGGGGATGGGGATGGGGACGGGGACGGGGGGAGGGGATGGAAAAGAAGATGGCGGCACGTTCGACTGCCTGAGTGATTTCCAGCTGCACACAAGAAACGAAGAGATGGCCGCCGGCACAGCATGGGCTATCAGCTACCACCCGGATATCTCAGACGTTACAATGGAGAACCTCGTCGTATTCACCACCCTCGCTAAGTTCATCTCCCCCCTATCCCTTTCCCCCCATCTCTCTCCTCCCCCCACATACATACTAACCCCCCTTCCCTCTTTCTCAGCACCCCCTGGAAACGCCTCGCCACCTACTCCGTTCCCGCCGGGCTCCCGCCCTGCCCACCCGACGGTTGCACCTGCGCCTGGCTCTGGGTACCGAGCGGCTGCGGCGATCCAAACATGTACATGCAAGGCTACAAGTGCAACGTGACGCAGACGACATCGCGGGTGCCCGTCGCGGAGGCGAGGCCGCCGGTGCCTTGCGCGGGGGACGCGAGCGCGTGCGTTAAGGGCGCGAAACAGATCATTGCTTGGCATCGTGAGTTCTCTTTCCTCTTCTCTCCGTGGGGAGGAGGTATGTGTGAAAGGGGGTGTATGTATAGGTATGCTGATCTGAATGTAGAACTAGATGGAAATAACGTAGACTCGGATTATTACTACCCGGGATATAATACGGATATGGGCTGGAGTAACGGTATTATCCATCCATCTCTGCACCTCTCTCTCCACCCTTCCCTCCCCCCCCCCCCCCTCCTTTAAACCAGCGCGAAAGAAAAGAAAGAAAACTAATACATAATACTTCATACCCAGCAGGCGCCCAAAACGATATCTTCGAGACGGATCACGAAAATTGGAAATAAAGGGGGGGGCTGATTCTGAGTTCCAATTGGAATTTAGGGGAGGGTTTGGGGGGGGGGGGGGGGGGTTAGATATCTTATTTTTATATATCATATGAGATTTTTGACGATTATTTGACCTGTATTATTGTCTCCCTCTCTCTCGTGCACCTACCTACACTATCAAATTCACATCCCCTTACACCCGGCTCTGTATACCTACCTACCCTACCCTACCTCCTATAAATCAGCGATCGCGCCCCTTTATCATATGTCTGTCTAGACATATCAAGCTCATTATTCGAAATATTATAATGCGAATAGGTAGTGAGTGATGTAAGGAGAGAATGATCTCAGGTATCTTGGGAGGGTGGTAGTGGTGTTGGTGGTTTATTTGCTGGTATCGTGTTGAGTAGGATTCGGGGGATGTATAGGGGGTGGGTGATAAGTAAGGTACATAATTAACAAATCATATATACAGACAGATACGTGAGGTTTAAGATGGTCAAGAGAATGAGAATCTAGAGAGAGCCTCATCATATCAATGCGAAGAGCGGGGAAGAGAGGCGCTCCTTGTTTATCTATTTATTTATCGAGTCAGGTTCTGTACAGCCGAGGTGCAAGGGAGGAAGGAAGTGTTCTAGAATAATGGGATGATATGCAATGAATGCTATCTGATCCCGTGAGGGCTGGAAGCCTGGAAGACGAATTCCTTTCAGGAGAGAGGGATAGAGAGAGAGAGATCAAGAGCATGTAAGAGATGCAATCTCAAAACCCATTGGTTTCCTGCGGGGTACTTGAGATTCCCGCATATTGTATAAAAATCAGCTGCCCATGATTATAACCATTCAAAGGTATCTCTCTCTTCAGCCTCCATGGCCGAAAGAAGGAAGTACAAGCGGATGCAGCACAACCCCAGGAGAAAGAGAGAACGCATCTCACGTGTAGCCCCTGTGGATGGCCCTCGCAATGCCCCGATCGGGCATCCACCGCTGCGAGCTGACGGTCACAAGGCGGCGGCGAAACGGGGGTTGGGAAACGCGACCTTGCCGAACATTAATAGAAAACAGCCAAGTTTCACCAATTACCAAGGGACCTGTTCAAACAAACACAGCCAGGCGAGATGCAGAGAAGGCTCGGCGACAGCGATGATCGATCGCGGCGTTCTCGGGGTCAGGAGCGAGCTTATCTCTGACAGCTGCTCTTCATTGGTCGCCTGTCGATCGCAGTTGGGTTGCGTAGGCGAGAGATAAGCATCGTGACAGGGAGGGAGAGGTTTCAAGGGATTGCGAACGCCGTGATTGGTGTAGATGCTTGGTTGGCCTCCGTGGAGGAGAGGGGGTATCCGGTACCTGTATCTAGATGTAAGGGATCAGCGAGGACGTTGGGGAATATGCAGGATGGGGATTACCGCGGTGGTTCAAATGGTATAGACACAGAGTAAGTGGCAGAGAATGGCGGTAGAAGGAAGAGGGGGAAGAAAGGAAAAGAGTGAAGGATGATGGGTGAAGAGGAGAAGAGGAGAAGAGGTGGAGATGAAGATATCAAAGATATCAAAGATATTGAAGATGATCCATAATACGGTAATAATCCTCATAATTACCTCCGTAAAGTACAATCTACCGGACCCCGTGCGTGTCTCCGCCTCCCCCAGGTTATACCTGCCTGAAACAGCCTAGCGGGAAGGCCCACGCCGATAGCTGCCGGGCCCGTCTCTCCCCGCGTCACTTTCCACTGATAAGGGGAAACGCGAGTCTCGCTATCTACGCTTTCGATATACAGTAATCAGTCAATCCGTTATAAATAAATGTATTACCTTAGATATATAGATATGTCTGTCTCTAAGACATTCATGGCTTTTGTTTCATTTTCTTCTTCTTCCTTTTCTTCTTCCTCACCTCCACCTTCACCCTCACCTTCTTTCTCCCCTCCCACCCCAGAAACACGGTAAACACCCGCGATATGGGTTCGGATCAGGATGCTCCTGGCAAACCCTCCGTCACTTCTGTCATGCCCGATGGCGACGTGCCCAATATCACAGGTTTGACCGCCGACGAGGCCGCGCTGGTCGCCCTGGGCTACAAGCAGGAGTTCAAGCGCGAGTTCTCGCTCTGGACCACCTTCTGCGTCTCGTTCGCCGTGCTGGGGCTGCTGCCCAGCTTCGCCAGTACGCTGACCTACGGCATGGGCTATGCGGGCACCGGCGGCATGGTCTGGGGCTGGCTGATCGGTTGGTTCTTCATCCAGTGTGTCGCGATGGGCATGGCGGAGCTGTGCTCGAGTATGCCGACGAGGTATGTGGTTCTGGGGCAACAACGAGAAACAGTGCTGACGAGAGAGAACAACAGCGGCGGTCTCTATTACGCCTCGGCCGTCCTGGCCCCCCCTGGATGGGGTCCCTTCGCCGCCTGGATCACTGGCTGGTCGAATTGGATGGTGCAGATTACGGGCGCGCCCTCTGTCGACTATGCCCTCGCGGCCATGATCCTGGCGGCGGCCTCCATCACACACCCCGATTATGTACCGACGAACTATCAGACCTTCCTCCTTACAGTCTGCATCATGGTTATCCACGCCTGCATTTCAAGCATGCCGACGCGGTGGATCGCCAATTTCAACTCCTACGGCTCGACCCTGAACATGGTCGCCCTGTTGGTTGTCATAATCATGATCCCTTCCTCGGTCACGGGAACAGACTCGACTCCTAAGTTCCTACCGTCAAGCCAGGTTTGGTCGATTCAGAATGGGACGGATTGGCCAGATGGAGTCGCCATTCTCATGTCCTTCATCGCTATCATCTGGACCATGTCGGGCTATGGTATGTTGTATTCAAGGGGTCGAACCTCCGAGGCGAAATGCTAACTTGCCCAAGATGCCCCTTTCCATCTCTCAGAGGAGTGTAGCAACGCCAATATTGCCTCGCCACGCGCAATAGTCATGACCAGCGGTATAGGTGGTCTGGCAGGATGGGCCCTACAGCTGGTCGTCGCATACACCGTCATCGACATCCCATCTGTCATGGGTTCTGACCTCGGACAGCCGTGGGCCTCCTACCTCGTGCAGGTGATGCCCCAAAAGACCGCTCTCGCTATCCTCGCTCTCACCATCGTCTGTGGCTTCTCCATGGGCCAGGGCTGCATGGTCGCCGCATCCAGAGTCACGTTCGCCTATGCGCGCGACGGATGTTTCCCCATGTCCTTCTGGATCAAGAGGGTCAACAAGTACACCTACACACCGGTCAACGCCGTATGGTTCAACACGGGCGTGGGCATCTGCCTGCTGTTCTTGATCTTCGGCGGGACGGTTACTATTTCTGCGTTGTTTAGCGTAGGGGCCATAGCAGCCATGATAGCCTTTACAATCCCCATCTTCATCAAGACCTTCTTCGTTGGCGACCGCTTCCGCCGCGGGCCCTGGCACCTGGGTAAATTCAGCAAGCCGGTCGGCGTCTTGTCTTGCGCTTTCATCCTCGTGATGATGCCGATCCTCTGCTTCCCCTCCGTGAGGGGCAGCGATCTGAACGCTCAACTGATGAACTGGACAGTCGTTGTATATGGCGGACCGTAAGCTCTCCCCGAGTCTCTCACCAGTAGCATATGGAATCCTGCTAACCAGCGATAGGATGACCATTGTGCTCGCTTGGTGGTTTATCTCCGCCCGTCACTGGTTCAAAGGCCCAGTCATCAACATCGAGGTATGCCTGCCTCCCTCCCCCTTATATATCCCCCTTCCAAACTAACCCCCTATCCCCAGCACCACATGATCGGCCGTGAAGTCCCCGTCACCGAAGGCATCGAGCGCATCTCTGACAGCGACTCGCCGAGCCTCGACAAGAAAGTGAAGGGCGAGACCATGACAACGCCCACCCCTCCCGATGTCAAATAAGACCCCCGCTCTCTCTCTCTTTCTGTATTTATTAGTCAGCGATTGGTGAATGATGGAAAAAACGATGATGATCTTGATGATACCTGTTTGTTTGTTTGTTTGCCTTTTTGGCTTGTATGTATGTATGTCTCGATAATCCCTTCTAAGATCAGAGAAATTCCAAAATAATCATACTTATCACGAGCCCGACGCCGAGCAGCACACATACTATCGGCTCCATGATATTATATATATGATATGATATGATGTCTCTAAAATAGGTCCCAAAAAAAAACCGAGCTATGATAATTCTAATTCCAAGCATGCCATGATCTTTCACTTACCTTACCTTCTTATATCAATCATGCTCTGCACCTCAACCCCTCATAAACCAAAACCAAAAATAACAAAAAATAAAAAAATCCCGCACCCAAACCTACCTTACCTACCTAAATATGCCTCATCAGCAAAACCCCCCCCCCCCTTCCTCTTCAATAATCCCTCATAGATAGTCTGACTTGAGGCATTTATACAACACGTCACGTGGCATTCTCCACCTCCTCCTTTCTTTTGTACCTAGATCGGGATTTGAATGAATCAAGGATTGCTTAATGTCACAATATGTGATAATATCGAGGTCTTACCTTACCTTACCTTATCTTACCTAAGGTATCTATCTAGATACCTTCCTCATGGATCGTAAAGAGCGAGCGGACTTTCCTGCCTAGATAGACTACCAGGCCTAAAGGTTTGAATTTGTATATCCTCCTCTTTCTCTTCTGTTTTCAAAAATGTACAGCTTCCCTTCTCTCGATAATGGCGGAACCTAATCTTCTAGGGACACATAACCTACCCCATTGGGTTGGATTCCTAACCTGTGAAAGAAGGATTGTTGGGTTGCATGTCGTAGCTACCTAGGCTCCTGGTTTTGGGAGTGATAGCGATAGTGATGGTGATAGCGATAGTGATGGTGATAGCGATAGTGATGGTGATAGCGATAGCGATAGTGATAGCGATAGTGATAGCGACAGCGACAGTAATAGTGACAGCGACAGTGATAGTGACACACTGACAGCGATAGTGATAGTGACAGCGAGAGTAAGTCTTTCCAAAAATTGTATATCTTAGCACCTTCTTGTGACTCTTTCTCTATCTTCTTCACAGCGTGCTCAGTCCAGGCGATTTTCTTTGGTACATTGCTTTTGCCAGATACTAGTACAGGGTATGTTAAACTCTCGGTCTGTTAAGGAGGCTCCATCATGTCCTTCACACGCTCAAGCCAATCTTCTGTCACGATGCCCTCTTCTACCAGCTTTTCCAACACTCGAACCGTCCACCCTTGGCAATTTTCCCTCACAGAGGCTCGATCTGGGGCCGAAGGAGGAGTTTCTGTATTGGCATAATACGCTACCCGCTCAGCTTGGTCTTCGGTCAGAGTGCATAGCGTATACGCGGTTTTCAGACATTCGGAAGTTAAGATGTCAACCCCTTCGGCATGCATGTACTCCATGAATTCGGCATCCCCTTTGACTTGGTAGACCTGGCCAGTTCCGCCTTCGGAAGCAACAAAGAGTGACCAATGGTCTGGTTCCCCGAATGATTGTGTTTCTAGCACAAGCGAGAGGGTGAGTTCAGATAAGGCGGGTGGGGGCGACTCCATTCGAGACCACCCTTCGGTCCCATTTCTTCTTCGGTGTATTCCATTGTCAAACGCACAGTACTCCCAGTTCCCGTGTGTCTGAATTTCGTTGTTCATCTAAGACATATAACAGCGTTAGCGTCGTTACTAATTAACCACGTTGGGAATCTCTTATACCGTTGCAGCGTATAGTATCACTGTTAAGTATCAATCCTTGATCGTTGTGTGTTCGATGTCAATCCTTGCTCGTTGTGTTAAGTCTGTGGGTTGGTTGAGCTATCAGAATTCAGACTGTGCTTGCTATATACAGAATAAGCGAGGGTCACATGACAATTACACCTTGCTACCTACCTACCAAGGTAGGTACCTAGGAGGTAAACCGCACGCGACCCGAGAGCCGAGAGGATAGAAGAGGGAATCGAGAATCCAAAGACTCTCAAACGTAATTACTGTTATAATAACCTTCCCTCGATAAATGTTAGAAGCGGTCGAAAAGTCTATGGCTTGGATTTAAGCTCTAGCGAGATGGAGAATTATTTTCTACTAGGGCGGGGGATCGCCCGCGTAGATCACTCGCTAACATTAGCGCGGGGTAGGGCAGGGGCCATTTGCCAATGAGCGTCCTCGTACCTACCACCAGATGATTCCCCACATATCAACTCCCTCGCTATCTCGTGCATTCGCGCAGTTCCTCTAGCACGTCTACTCATCTACGAAATGTCCGATCATGGTATTAATCTCTTCCTAGAAAATCTCCCATCCCAGCATGCGCTAACATCCTGTATAGGCCCTTCGCCCTCAAATTCTCGCATCCTTAGCAAGCAGTGCGGCGCTATTGTCGTACTTCTCGGCGATCTGATCACTAAATCGGGCACTCGAGTACAGCGTAACGAGGAAATAGCTATGAGGCTTGTGAGGCAATATACAGACGTTCCACTTCCCGGTGTTATCTTCTCGGCGTACAATTCCGAGCAGGGCAATCTAGGCATGACAGTTGTTCCAGGTTCTCCCCTTGAGCTCTCATGGGACCGGCTCGATGAGCATACAAAGGAACGTCTCTGCCATGAAACCTGGGACATAATTGAGGAGCTGCGACAGATCCCACGGCCCGCTGAGCTACGCCACCTCTTCCAATGCTCTGCTGACGGCTCACCCACTCGCGATCCGCTCATTCAAGACTTTCATAACCCTCCGGCACCTCTTCTCAATGACGCTGACTTACGAACCCGCATTGCACAACGCTGTTCTCACTTCGGTGGCCGACAGGATGCTAAGGAGCTACCTAGCATGCTTCCTCACTCCGATGTTTCTGTCTTCACACATGGTGACATAGCTCCACGAAATATTATGGTGGACGACGAAACCCATCAAATTACTGGCATTCTCGATTGGGAAACGGCTGGATGGTATCCAGATTATTGGGAGTACGCTAATATTATGCGGCCTGGTTGTAAAGATTGGCAAGCATGGATGGACCGTACCGCTCCGCGAAGGTGGGATCTCATGGGTATACAAGCGGCAAGGCGGGTTTTGTTCTAGGACTGAGGCGTTTCCAAGCATTCTTACAACTGAAGTAGAACCTCTTATTTGAATCAAGCCCTCGTTGTCTAGAACTGATTGCTGGTTGCATATAAAATGACAGTTAGGCTAATAGTTCAACCTCGTTTCCTCGTTCAACCCGTTTCTGATTCCTTGCTTTCGAAGAACTTAACAGTCCACCTCTTCCTTGCACATATCTCCTTCAACATCGCGGGACTTGTCGCAATATCCGACCCTTTTTTTAAACGTCTCTTCATCCCTTGGTGTTGTGATCGTTGAGCCTCTTGTCAGGCGTTCGAGATCTGCTTCATTTGTAGGACGTGGATTGGATTGTTGCCAACTTTGCCACACGCTTAACTGCCGACTGTCTTCATCATCCACAGCTTTCCGCAAGTCTTTCCAAATATTGTATATCTTAGCACCTTCCTGCGACTCTTCCTCTGTCTTCTTCACAGCGTGCTTAGTCCAGGCGATTTTCTTTGGTACATTGCTTTTGCCAGCCAGCGTTGCCCACGACACAGACCCTGCTGACGTTTCTTCTTGCACGCCCGAAATATCCGACAACTCATCTTTGAGTGGGCGTAGCGCTGCCCCTCTTCCAATAATTATACCACAATGTGTAGCCATTGCTCCGTACCTAGACACTACTGTAAGGAAATTGTTTGCGGGTCTACTATTTTTGTCCTTCTTTCGCATCTCGATGGCCTACTTGATAGCACGACTCATAAATGGTGAAGTCAACAGAACACCTGATAGAATACATATGTTAGTCATACTTAATATTAGATGTTAAGAAAAAGGACTTACGTTTGTATTCTTTCAGTTGTACATGGTCAGGCGCCAGCCAATCACCCGGAATCATCATCATATTTGTGATGATATCGACCAGTGTTGGCAACCCCATGACCTCTTTGTCAGAGTGTGCCCACAGGAGTACGTACGGGTCAACTGTATGCGCAACTATGTTGCCTTCCTGCCGGGCCTATTGTCGAACGGAGCTAGTTATACAGTGATTGATATTCCCACGTTCAATGGTCTCTGTTGAACCCTGTTATCAATATTCAAGGGATATCGCGTCTACCCCTGTTATTAGCACTCCTTTTGAGTCTATATAGAGTAGCTAGTTACCCTTCTTTTCACTTCAATCAAGTTATTATCCTGAATATGATTCCTCCCGGCTTGACAGAGTTTGAGAGCTGACTGAGCATCTCGTGAATATGACGCTTCAGTGCTTCACGGTAAGCAGCCTCGTTCTGGAGATATTTGCTGAGTGGAGCTGAGCATCTGCTAGGGTTTTCTTCGCACTACTTAGCTTGCTGATCTGCTCTGAGAAGCGTGTCATCTGGATATTCGGCATCCCCTTTCACTTGGTTGACCTTGCCCGTTCCGCCTTCCGAGGCAACAAAGAGTGACCTGTCATCTGGAATATCAAAGAATGATTTGTAAACTCGCTCTATGTTATCGAATCTTTTGACACAGCTCATAATCTCGAGGCGAATCTCGTGCTCAGACTTATTACCAAGTCCGTGAGGGAGCCAAAATCCAAAGTAATTCATTGGCGTTGTCCCGTCAGCAGTAGCGCGTTCATCTGCGTTGCAGTCGAATCGTTTGTTTGGGCTTTTTTCCTGATATCTCTCAAATGCAGCCTTGTTTCTACCCCCAAGGTAGTTAGACACTTCGATAGTTTCGAAAAGCGTAGCAACATCCGCACAACTGCGAGCAATTAATGTTGAAAGCCAGTTGGTAGCTTCAAACATTGTGTAACTTTCCCATAACGGGTGTGGTTTCTTGTTATCAATATCAAATTGGACCTCTTTGGCGAGCACGTCGAAAGTTGTCAGAAGATCAGTAATAGTTGAAACAGCATCGCTACCTGTCCAGAGAGCAATAGGCTTCCTCAAGCTATCGAGGGTAATGAATCCTCTTTGAATAAGCACTGTGAAAGTATCTAGGAGAGTAGATTGTATACGTCCTCGATAGTAGAGTGCCTGAAGGCGCTCAGAAATGTATTGAGGCGTTTTGGTAAGCCAGAATTGGAAGATAGGTATGTCGCATGGTAATCCCGAATCTGGGAAACATTTCGATGCCTCTAATTGAAGAAGCTCTATGGCTTCCTGTAATATTTCAGGACTAGGACTCAGGTTTGTTTGTTGAATGTGGGTGGTTGTGTCGAGAAAGTGAGAGCTCTCGCTTGGTAGGGAACCTCCCAAAGAATCGCGAGTGGCTTTCGCTTCGTTCTTGTCGCGGCCTATCGAGCAGTTAGACTTGTGTTTATCTGAAAGAATATAGGTATCACTAACCAGATGGCGTACGTGAGAGTCTAGGGTTCTCAGATCTGGGAGGCATGTTGCTTTTGAGTGAGCTTGTGGTACCGTTGGTTGTTTTGTGGGTATGTTTGAAAAGGGTAAGAGGGGAAGGAGTGAAAGGCGAAGAGTAATAAGAAGAGAATGAGTAGTCTGGATCCCAATCCGGGTGAGCCACAGGTAGGCTAGAGGGTAGCGTAAAGACAAGGTTGAGATCCAGACTGATAAGCTGTACCTTTGGGTCCCAAAGTAGCCCCGAATCTCTATAAAACTAGCTTCTGCTCGGGTGTCAAGGAGTTGCTTCCATGCCTGCGCCTGGAAGTCCATGTTAGTTCTAGAGGGACAAACAAAACTAAAAGGGAGCGCACGCTAGAGAGCAAGGTAAAGCGTAAGGTAGAGCGCAACCTATTACGCAAAGTGAAGCGCAGCCTGACACGGCTTGATGTTAAACCTGACTGTCGTCCAGAGGCGGGGTGGTGAGAGGTGTAGAGCTATCGTATTGAAAGTACTCGACGCTATCAGGACTGGAGACATTGGTAAGGTTGAACGTATCGTATGTGCTACACGGATATTCAGGATATTCAGAAAGTCTTAATTTCCTGATTTGAGTGAAGGAGTGGCTGTCTATTAATACAAGAGTTGAAAGAAGTGCGGCCTTATCCGATCGCGAATCAATTCGCTATCACGGCGACATGCATGCCTTGATTCCAAGGCCTCAAGGCACTCCAAACAACCAGCTCCAGCTCCATCGTGCAGCTCAACTCAAGCCTCAGAGGCTCCCTGCTAACGCACATCCCACGATGGCATCCGCCATGCAGCGCGCGCGCGATCCAAGCACCCTCCTATCGCCCATCAGTGCCGAAGACGACGCGTCCAGTATCCACTCCGAGCGCAGCGACCAAGACACAGACTCTGAAGACGATGAGGTGCTGCTGGGGGCGCGGACGTCGGCCGAGATCCGGGCGCACGACCGGCGCGTGCTGCTGGAGGAGGAGGAGCGAGATCGCCTGCTCGAGGAGAGTAGGATGCGGGGCCGTCGGGGCAGCGCGCTGGCGCTGGCGCCGCTGAAGAAGCTGTTTGCGAGGAGCCATACGGAGTTGTCGAGTCCGGTGTTTGGGGAGGGAGGAGAGGATGGGGAGAATGCGAGGGAAAAGGGAACAGGGAGGAGGAGGAGGCGGCGCGAGAGGAGAACGAGGAAGAAGGAGAGGCTGCTGGGTGAGGCGGACCGCGGCGAGGACGGCGAGCTCATGTATGAGATGGAGGAGGGCGGGATGAAGGACGGGAGTGCCACGGGGGACAGTAGTGAGACTGAAGGCAGTGATGAACTTGATCGACGAGGTCTACGAGGCCTGCATGATGAGAAACTGAGAAGAAGGAGGAATTGGAGGAAATGGCTCTTCATACACCTACTGATCGTGCTGGGCTTCTCGATCTTGGTGTTGGTTGCTCTCAAGTTATCGCTGAAACGCAAGATGACCAAGACCAACCAGACGATTATGAGCAATGGCACGGCGTTATTTGCGCCGACGACGATACTGATCAGCTTGGATGGGTTCCGAGCGGATTTTTTGAAGCGGGGGATCACGCCAAGACTGAATGCTTTCATCGAGGAAGGTGTTTCCCCAGAATATATGAATCCGAGTTTTCCTTCTGTCACTTTTCCGAATCATTATACCCTGGTCACTGGATTATACCCCGAATCACATGGCGTTGTTGGGAATACCTTTTGGGATCCGGAACTGAAGGAGGAGTTCTACTATACCAACCCTCTGGCTATGCAGCCGAAATGGTGGGGTGGTGAGCCGCTCTGGGTTACTGCCGAGAGCCAGGGGATCAGGACGGCCGTTCATATGTGGCCAGGGAGTGAAGCACATATCATGGAAGTGGAGCCTGCGTTCTTGGACAAGTTCAATGGAAAGGAGCCACTGCCGAACAAAGTCGCGAGGATCCTTGAGCTGCTCGACAAACCAGGCCAGGAGAACGAGCTGGTGGAGGCTGCTGACATGAGACCTCAGCTCATAGCGGCCTACGTGCCCAACGTCGACGCAGACGGCCATGCCTATGGGCCAAACAGCACAGAGATCAGGACAACCATCAGCGCCGTTGACGACATGCTTGGCCAACTCTTCCAAGGCTTAGAAGCCCGGAATCTAACAAGCATCGTCAACATCGTCATTGTCTCTGACCACGGCATGGCAACCACAGACACCACCCGACTGATCCAACTCGAAGACATCGTCGACCGAAGCCTAATCGAGCACATCGACGGGTGGCCCCTCTACGGACTCCGACCCAAAGACCCCGAGCATCTCCAAGACCTGTACGACACGCTTTCCGCCGCCGCCTCCCAAAACCCTAACTTCGACGTCTATCTTCGCGACCAGGACATGCCCGAGCGCTATCACTTCTCCAAGAACGAGCGCATCGCTCCGCTATGGATCGTGCCTAAAACAGGCTGGGCCATCGTGACGAAAGAAGAATTCGACGTCGCGGACGCGAAAGCCAAGGGGCTCCAATACCATCCAAGGGGATTGCACGGGTACGACCACCAGCATCCGCTCATGCGTGCCATTTTCATAGCTCGGGGCCCGGCCTTCCCGCACGAGGGGAATAGTCGTCTTGAGCCTTTCCGTGAGTCCCGTTGCCCTCCCCTTACCCTCTCCCCGGGAGAAGCACATTCTTGCTGACAGAAGATAGAAAACATCGAGGTCTACAACATCATCTGTGATTCCCTCTCCCTCACCCCAAAACCCAATAACGGCACCCTCCGCCTCCCTCTCCAACCCATCGGTTTACACTCCCCCTCCTCCTCATCCCCCGCACCTCTCGATCCTCCCTCCTCCACCCAGGGCACACCTTTCATCCCACCCCTCTCCATTCCCATCTCCCCTTCCACCTCCCCTTCAACCTCCCCTCCACCCTCCGCCCCACCAAAAACCATCCAAGTCAACCCTCCCGACACCATCCCCACCCCTATCAGCACAGACGATTCCCCTCGCCCCGTCGCCACAGACAAGCCCGATTTCTGGTCCTGGGCCACCTCGAAATGGGACCGTTTCAAGGGCTGGATCGACGATCTTACTAAAGGCAAAGAACACAAGACACAGGATGGGAATGGGGAGATTGGGGAGGTAGATGCTTGATAATCGATGCACCCGCTTGCTCTTGGTTATTGTTTGTATATTGGAAGGAAACCTGTGGGTGGTGGTAGGATGGAGTTCTTGGCTATATATCTCCCTCTCTCTCTCCCTCTTTTCGCGCGCGTTTTACTTTTGTATAGTATAATATAGTATATTTGATATCATACCCGTGGATCGTGTAATTCTTTTTTTTTTTTTTTTTTTTTTTTTTTGATAGTTAGGTAGATAGATCAGTTGATTTATTGATTGATTTGATATACATGATGTATATATCAGTTCCGTCATCAATAGACAATTGCAGTCACCGATTTCCTATTTGAAACAATATCCCAAATCACCTACTAGTACAAGGTAGCTAAGGGATATCTATTTGTGCCTAGGTAGCCAAACATTCACTGCTTCCAACTACTTTCTTGTACGTCAACACGTCCAGCATTAGTCAAGGACTAATCACTACTCAACATGTACAGGAGTAGTAGACGCGGGAAATAGATATAGTATACCAATTCACGTTCATGTGTACGTCTGCCGCAACCTCATTCCTTCCCACGATATGACAAACGTAAAGTAGTCCCTATCTCTATAGCAATAATCATACTAACGCTCTGCCTTGCCTTTTCGGCTAGATTGCTGAACCCAGTCAAGTCATTGCAGCGAGCAATCGGATAGGTGCTTACATTACGTTAAACTAGTTCATCAACCTGATATCTCTTTTTAGTGCTATCTACTTTAAATATAGTAGTCTATACTACTTATGGAGGTTCTACATCTCGAAGTCCCCCCCCGGTGAAAGGTATACGGAAGACCCAATTGGAATGCCTGTGCTGATACATAGTTGAAATGGGATGTGAATGCACTTACGAGGCGGCGGAAGCATTGGAGCACAGAGATTGAACGGAGGAGACAATCGCAAGAGAATAATCTTAATGTGAGACGCCAGAGGCGCGAGAGAAACAGGGTGTCACACGTTTAAGTTAAACGTATCTAGATGTATTTGATCTCGTCAACCAGGCTCTCCGTCCGAACGCATCTTCAGGGATTATGAAGGGGTTTCTTCAAATTTGTGATATCAAATTCAAAATGTACAAGATCAGGGTCACTGAAGTAGTTATAGAGGAATGTTAAAGTCATCGCTTCTAGTGAAATGGAATTCCATACGATATGTGATCTCAGGTATTAACCATTGTACATTTTGCATTTCTTAGACTGGAGTGAAAGTTTTCGTATATGATGCATCTTGACCCAACATATGTTGATCGAACACTGTCCAGTCGATGTTCTTAACCTCGTTGCCTATGAAATTAAACTAGTCAACCGTCAAGCAGCCCGAATGCCGCCTTATCGTAACCATGCCGAGGATGTAGCAACAACGATGCTGGATGAACTCCATGTGCCTCCCTATCTGCTGACTGTATACGAGTATTGGAGGAAGCAGCAAGTGCTGCCTGGGAAGACTGGGAAGCTGTGTTCTTGGCGCGTTTGAGGATTTAGTACAAGTCATTGTAAGATAGATTACATGTGAAACTTGTCGCGTAGAGAAATCTGAACTGAATGGTGATTCAGGTAAGAATTCATGCGTCTATTTCTATTTCCAGCAAGTTGTGCTCGATTTCAACACCCATACTACATTCCGACGCCATTTCAGCAAGCTGTGCTCGATTTCAATGCCCATGCTGCATTCCGACGCCATGCTTCATTCTAACGCCATGCTTTATGTCAATGCCACGCTCTATTTCTATTTTCAGCAAGTTGTGCTCGATTTCAATGCCCATGCTACGTTCCGACGCCATGCTTTATTTCAATGCCACGCTCCATTTCGCTGTTCGATGCTTATGCTCAACCTTATCTTGAATGAAGTTGATCCTCCTCTCGTCAATGGTTAGATAGCTTTCTTTCTCGGGGATAGCGACCTGAGCCTCTTCTTAAGGCGGCTGAATGTGCGGAAAAATCGTTTGTTGTGTTCTTGAACCGCAGAAAGCTCGAGGACTCTCTTCTCGTGATAAGCAACCATGATGTTCTTGACTATTTGCAGCGCGCCGTTAGTCATCTTGATGCTATCCTAGATCTGAAACTTTTGATGGAGAATAAGATTAGGACACTTACACTTTACCAACTTCTCGATCTCACTGAGGATTTGTTCATTGGGCCGACCTGATACGTAGAATGCGATTGCCAAATACTCGGACGGCTTGGAGTAGAAGAAACCTTGATTCCGGGTTGGTGAATCAAAAATACGTGCATCATTAATCGCGTGTCGGATGTTCTCGTAACGCGTCCACGGTTCTTTGGCTTTTGCAATGTCTGTTTCATTGATGTCGCATGCTTCCAGAGTTCTTTGCTCCCACGCCCATGTATCAAACAGGTGCCCATCAGCGATCGGGAGGTCAAGTAAATCCTTGAAATCTGTAGCCAATTTCATGATCGACATGCGATAGCACAGAATATTAGACAGGCTTTCGAGGTATTCTTCGTCAAAGCTATCCCCTCGGACTAAGCTCTGAAACCGAGAATGATGCGAATTGCATCCCGACGCGTCGTTACCAGGGAAACTGTTTAAATATTGTCTTGCTTGTTCGCGCACAATGTTTAGAAAGCTTCCTCGAAATTCTTGCCCTAGAATAATAGACCCGGGTTCTCCAAGGCTTGAGGCGGCCGTGCCGACTATGCATCCGGGTTCTCCAAGGCTTAAGGTGGCCATGTCAACTTCGAAATTAGCGTTTGGAGCTCGGTTCGTTAAAGGGTCGGCTTTATCGATCGGGATAGGTTTCAGCATCTCCCATCTGGCCTTGTAATCAGCTGCAGGTAGCCCAGAGATAGTCTTCCATTCAGAATCCCACGAATCGTTTTGGGCGGCGAATTTTATGTCATGCTTCCAAAACAACCGGTCCACCTCGTCGCGGCCGATATCATGGATGAACTTTGCCCACCCGACGTATGCTGGTGAGGATCTTATCTCGTCTTCATCTTCAACTCCTTCCTCTTCCGCGATTTGCATTTGCATTGCAGCCTTCACGAGGGCTGAGGCATAAATCGATCCCGCTGCCCGACCTATGGAATCGCTCTTCGCCCAGGACTCAGAAACCGTTTCTGGCCCTGCTGCAGCCATCACCGTTGCATTGAGTAATGCTTTGGTCTCGTCTCGGGCCGTCTTTACGACCCAACCGCCAGAGAAACAAGAAGTCATTAGCAATGCAACGTTTGCAGCATTCCCAATCGCAATGTTCAAATTCTCGACGGTCAGACGTGGTGCAGCAAGCGAATCAGTTTTTCCGCCAATTGATACGCCGTAGGTGTCTTTATCGCCATGTCCAAAAATGAGGATGAGTACAGATTCTTCGTTCGAAGCTGCAAGTTTGCACTCGGAGCGGACAGTGGCGAGAAATCGTTCAAGAAGATGCTTTGGTTTTATGACGCGAATATTGTTTGCCTTTTCGATATCCGGGAGCATTTCCGCGTCAAGGACGACCCGACGCATCTCTAGACGATTGCCGTGTACAAACTCTTTGTACTTGACAACCAAATCAACCGGATCCACACATGTCAGCCAAACTTGATTTGTGCCTATTGAAAGAGTTAGCATCGAGACGCCTTTGTATTAGGGCAAGAGTGACTTGACTCACCAAGACCGGAGAAGAGATGATGAAATAGATAAAAATCCGAGTGAAACCAGCCGTCTTCCCCTGGAGATGAGGCATTATCAAAATCGTTGATGCCGCACACTGCGATAATTCTAGTGCCGGGCTCGATAGTAGGAGGGCAGCGGGAGCTGAATTCGACTCTTCGTCCCCATCCTCCGAAGTCAGTGGGCTTCAGCATTTCAGCCATCCTTCGAGAGAAGGGAGAATCAGGCGAGAAGAGAACTGAATTCGCAGTAAAAAACCTAACCCTAAGTTGAGGTATGACTCGAGATGACGGTTTTTGAAAAGTTCGTGGTTTCGGTTTGGACGGCGAATGGATATAAAAACGGCAAGACTAATAGCTTATCGCTAGATCTACTCTCTACCCTTACGCCTTATGTACTTATTATAGTAGCGTAAGCGAGTTGGTAGCGCGGTCAGTGATGCACGGAGGGGCTGGTGAGATCGGAATAGATCTGGATCGTCGAGGTCGGGGAGCTTCTAGAAGTGTGGGGTTTGTCTTCGAAGTAGTCCGGAATGTGGGGGTTCTCGTGGGGGTTTGTATAACACTCGGGGGGGGGCGTGTATCAGTACCCACGTATCTCAAAGTTGACGCGAACAAATGCGGGGGATGGTGGGGCAGGGCCGTCGCTTATTCTCGCTTAGAGGTGCGTCCGTATTGAACCGCGCGAAAGCATCAGTTTTGGTGTAAAACTTCAGCATTTCCCTTTTCGTAGCCTAGAACGGTGTATGAATTGTGTAATCAATCGATGAATTGTATTATACAAGTCTAAGCCAAAGTCCCCCAAGTAAACGCCGTCTTTTGCCCGGGTATCATTGCAAAGGGAAAAATGTGTCCATGTCTATCGATCCCATCCACCGTACCAATGCATTTGGTGTTACAAGGCATGTACGGCTTCTTTAAAAAAAAAAAGAAAATACAAGCAACGAATAGTAGAGTACGCAAGGCACAATTTATCTCCACCGAATCTCATGACACAATAAAAAAAGAGATGGAAATCAACCTACCCGACACGGCGATCGATCAACGATTGCTGCCCAGTGCCAATGCCGAAGAGGAAGGCAAGCTCTTGTACGCCAAGACGGCCAAGAGACTTACTAGCCCCCTCACTGAGAGCCTCGTCAACGAGTTTCTTCTTGCGTTGTTGAAGTTCGATAATACGATCCTCGACCGTGTTCTTGATCAAGATCCGATGGACTTCGACGGGGCGTTGTTGGCCAATGCGGTGTGCTCGGTCAACAGCCTGCATCTCAATGAAAGGGTTCCAGAAAGGATCAAGAATAATGACTCGAGAAGCAGCAACAAGATTGAGTCCCGCGTTCCCAGCCTTCAGGGAAATCAGCATGATTTTGGTGTTGCGATCATCAGTGAACCGATTGATGGCATCATTCCGAGCTTCAGCATTCATACTACCGTCGTAACGTTCGCACACCCAGCCCTTTTGGTCGATGGGGACCTGGAGGAGATCCAGAAGGGAAACGAATTGACTGAAGACAATGGTCTTTTGATCCTCATTCTGAAACCTCTCCAGCAATTCGACGCACTTATTGACCTTAGCGGACGGTTGCCAATGCTTGCGAAGGTACTTCATGTAGCGACGACGTCCATCGGCATTCTTTGAGGCTTCCTTCTTCAACATCGCAATTGATAAATGCTTGCTCGACTCCTTCCCCTTTCCTTTCTTTGCCTTTCGATGGCGCTTCCTCTCCTTCTTCTTGCCCTTGTCCTTAGACTTCTTCTTGGGCTCCTGTTCTGCTTCGTCGTCACCGCCCTCTCCAGGAGCAGGGTCCTCTTCGTCTTCTGTAGCATCAGAAATATCGGGAACGATGAAATCTCTGAGATCTCCATGGCGGTCTACATCATCTTCACTCTCTGTCTCCGAATCGGACTCGCTCTCACTATCGTCATCGCTATCCATATCCACGCCTGCAGTCTTCTCCTCAGCAGCTACGGGGCCTTTCACATGGACTTTCTTGAACGTAGCATAGTCGATGATTTTGCCCATGTCAATCCTGCCGCGACAAGATGGACATTTAGATGTGCCGCCAGCCTCGTTGCCATCTGCGACGTTCTGCTGGTTTGCTTGGTCTGAGATTTTGGTTAGACACTCAGCGCACGTGTCATGACCGCATGGTATGATGATTGAAGGATTCTCGACGCCATCGTAGCAAATAGGACACTGAGACTTGTTAGCATAAAGGTATGGGCTCAGGCAGTGGAGAACTCACTTCGAAAGAACCCTCTGCAGCCAATAGTCTGCTAACAACATCTGGATACAGGCTCTCGGCCAGCTTGATCATGACATCTTCAGTAAGATCAGCAGCCCCAGCTGGTGGTGCCTCGTCGAAGTGAGTGATAAGGTGAGGGTGACAGCAGCATTGACGAAGTCGCAAAAGGAGGACCAAGATACTAGAGTAGTTCTTTCCGACAGTGCCTGCTTTCATATACTTGTTGAACTGTATCCTGATCTTGCCCTCTAGTGAGTCATAGAATGCTTTCTCATCATCACTAAAGATAACATGGGTAGTCTCCTCCGTCTTTGGCGGCAAGGTAATAATTGGCTTGCCGTCAATCAGAGAGGTCTTCGTCCGGCGGAGAAGGATTGCTTTCAGAAGAGCCTGCAGTTTTCGCATGCCTTTGTCTAATTGGTGCTGGTATGCACCTGCTTTTTTGAACATGCCGAAGTCCTATTTTCGTGTTAGCAAGGATCAGATGAATTCTGCAAATGAAGGTTGTGGAAAAGGAGGTATGTGTAAAGCGAAGAGAAAACACGGTTTACTTGCCTCCTGGAATTTCTTGTACTCGTTATAGGGGCGGATCCGCAGGAAGTGTATTAATGAATATAGTTCCCCGACGTTATTCATCATCGGGGTACCAGTGAGGCAAATCCTAGTCACAGACTTGAGTTGACATGCCGCCCTAGCTGCCAAGGTAGATTTATTCTTGATGCACTGCGCTTCGTCGAGGATAACACGATAGAAGAGACTCTTGGGACCTAAGAACGGAAACTTCTTTCGCAATGGTCCTTCTTCGATGCCTAACCCGAGTGTACGGCCTTGGGATTGTTGTTCTTCCAGGAACTTCCCCCAGCGACTATATTCTGCTGCAAGGGTGCCGTAGGTTGTCAATACAACGTCGTATAATCGTAGATCATTCCATGAGAGCTTCCGGTTTGCACCATGAGCCATATAGGTACTCAGTTTATGCTCGGGCTTCACCTTCTTGCGGATCTCTCGTTCCCACTGGCGGACAAGGGCGACAGGACCAACTATAAGAGTTGTCTAGAACTTGTTAGCATACTCTCGAGACAGTTTTCCGGTCTTAAGTGACATACCTTTCGCATATGGTCGGTTGACGGTCGACTCAGAATCAATGCTAAAGAACTGATTGTTTTGCCAAGTCCCATATCGTCAGCAAGAATACCACCCTTGTTTGTGCCTTCTTCCATAGACTTCAGCCAGGTAAGAGCGAGCTTCTGATGTTCGTACTAACTCTAGTTAGCAAGAACCTGCGATAAAAAGTAAACCGGAGCTCACCAAGGGATATTTGAGACCCTCCGGAGTACCCTCTCGGTCCTCGGCAGGTAAGTCGGCATCGGGACGGATGTTTTCAATCAAAGCCTTGATCTCTTCATCGGTCTTCCTTGGGTCATTCATGATGTAGTCTAGTTGTCCAGCCATCCTCTCATTGAAAGGATGATTGAACATATCCGGCATATCATCCCCACCCCTAATGTCTCCAGGACGATACATACTGGACAGAGTATTGAAGGACGGATAAGTGGACATGCCCTGAGAGGGGCCTGGCTGGTTCATATTACCAAATCCCATGTTGCTGGTACTATGCAAAATGTCTCCTATACCAGGGCGGCCGCTTTGAATTCCGTATGGGCTATATGCAGCAGGTGCGTTCAAAGAGCCCACAGATGTCCCGATACCATAGAGGCCTCCCCCATTGTGTAGAGGGGGACTGACGTACACGCTACGACCAGATAAAGGAGTTTGCGATGTTCCACGGACGCCGTTTGCCATTCCAGGCCCCATGCTCATATTAGGATTATGAGTAGGAAAGTTCATTGACGGACGAGCAGATTGTGACGGGCTTCCCTGCATACTCTGGTTCATCCACTTGGGTACATTTTGCTTTCCAAACATTGCCATCTGCAGAGCGGAGTTTGGAGAAACTTGATCAACACGGCGTGAAGCGGTATTGCCAGCAGGTTTGCGGGGACTCTTGTCATAAAAGGCATCAGGAGATATGATCTCAATATCAGAATCGTCGGAGTCATCCCAGTGTCCGAAATCAAGCATATGAATGACGTCCCTGCTGGACGAACTTGAGGCTTCGTTTTTGACGCCTGGAATCTTCGACGGTAGCCCAGGAAAGTATCTTCCTTTTGAAGATTGTCCATGTGGGGGGTTGCTTGATGATGTCGTGGTTGAAGAACTTGAAGGGGGTGGCCGCATTCCAGACAGCCGGTCAAAGGCAGATGGGCCTGACGCTGCGGCTGCCGGCTGGGTTCTCTGCTGTTGGCCTTGATTGTACATCTTTCTAGCAAGCTCTTCATCCCGTCTTTCACGTTCTATCCTCTCTTCCTCAGCCTTCTGCTGCCGCCTGAAGAATTCAACATCGACCGTTGGAAATTCATCATCACTAGAAAGGAGGTCAGTTTCAATAGGTGGAGAGTAATGTAAAGCAATAACCAAAGAAGAGCACATTTGAGCACAAGGTAATTATGGGTGTGCAAGGTTTGGGTAGATACAGCGAGGTCAAAGAGGCTATTGCCAAGAACAGGGCAATCATACTCTAAGCTTGAAGACGGGGTTGTTGCACCTGTCTGTAATGGACTTGGTGATGTTCGTCTTGATTTGTTATTTGTAGGTGGCGCAAGGCCATCGAGATGCTGGCTGCGAGATCGCTTTCGAGTAGGAAGGTCCATCTTGGAGGGGGTTAGAGACCCTGAATTTGAATACTCGTCAACCAAGTCCGCGGATATTGGAGATGATGCTGTCGAAGTATGTTCCCTAGCTGTAGCACGGCAGGTCAGCTGTGTGTTGAGAGAAGAAGAATTGAGTTTGAACAGTGAATTTGAAATGGAAGGAAGGCAGGTCTCTCAGACGCAAACGTGCGGCCTGGTATCTTGGCACAGACGGAAGCAAATATTGAATGAACTGACCTTGGTTAGGGTTCGAGGGCGATCCAGGAGGGGAGTCGTCCATGGGAGAGTTCGACAGAGGTCGGGAAGACGGTGGGATGGAAGAAGTTGCCTCAAAATCCTGGGGAGCCGAGGAGGTGAAGGAGTCTGGCGCCCTAGAACCCCGCTTGAGGGCTTTTAACTGCTTCTCCAACGCCTTGATCTCAGCTCGAACTTCATTCTCTGCCTCCTCCCGGTTCTCCACGGAGTCGTCGATGGATGATAAGAGGACCTTTTGAAAGGCTATCTCATTAAGCAACTCGGCAATTTCCTCCTGAGCCTGGGAGCTGGCGGGCGGCTGGGATTGCGACATCTTCTGGTTATGGGCAAACACAACAGCAACGCAGGCGCCCGGCTGTGGCGAGGTCGAGACAAGGCGCCGAGATAATTGGATACGGCTAATCAACGGGTGCAGCGCCCAAGGCGGCCAAGGAACAAAAGGAGTGAATTCGAGAGCTTGCCACCTAGGTCTGCGATACTAGAAGGTCGAGGGAAAAGACAGGGCAGAAATAGAACACAAAAGAAGAACGAGTTGCGGTTGGAAAGTGAATGGATGGACGGCGGGATGTCGGGATGATGCGCAGTACAGATCAGATATTTACAGCCGCGATCACGGCTTTTCTTAACGCGCGAGACGCGATGCAGACGCGCCCGGTGTAGATTAGCCAGATAAGCGAGCACTGCGTTATCGCCTTATCGGGTATCGCCTTGATCACGTGGTCTCCCACTCAGCGCTGGTCCATCAGGTACATTACGGGTATGAGACGCTTGTAGTATACAGGGTAGTATCCTGTCTGCCCAGAATCCTCAGGAATTAGTACCTCCATTTTCCCAGCCATCCCAAACTCCATCGCTATAGTATAATACCACCGCCTTGACATATCTCCCTGGAATAACCCGTTTTCAGCGCCTTCCCCGTCCCCCACGGCCACGGCTTCTGCTCCGGCTCCTATCATCATAACTGCTGTAGCTACTGTAGCTCGGGCTCCTTCTTCTCCGGCCTCCGCCACTCGGCCCAGGGCTGTCACGTCGACCGCCGCGTCTTCGTGGAGGGGAGCGGGAGCGGGAAGAGAAGGATCGAGAGCGGGTTCGATGTCGCCGTGGGGACCGCGAGCGCGTGATACTTCTTGGTCGGTAGGTATCAAACTCCCTTCCACTTCTGTTGTAGCTTGGGGGAGGAGACCGGCGCGAGAATGGAGAGCGGCGTCGAGGTGGAGGTGGGCCTCGGAGACTCGCTGATGGCGGACCGCGAGGGTCGAAGTTTGCACCACGCCTTGCAAGGGGCGGCGATGGAGAGAACTTGCGGCGAGGTAAGACGATTGATACATTTATGACAGCTCCGTCGATTTGAGCTTCGTGCATGTGCGCAATGGCTGCTTCTGCGTCTGCTTCGTGGGCATAGAGAATGTATGCTGTCCCACGATTGGTGTTGACTGTGATGTCAGTTGTGTCATCGAATTCTGGAGAGGATGACTTACATTGCCGGTTCATTGGCATATCTAAATCATGGATCGGGCCATAGACCCCAAAGATTTCTCGAAGATGATCTTCGTTGACATTTTTGGTGAGCTTCTCGACCACAACCTGGGACCATTAGAACGAGCTCCGTAAAAAAGAGAGAGCAGCTCACCTTTGTGCTTCTCACTGGGCTTAGGCTCCTGCCACGGCTGACGCTGCGACTCTCACTTCTATATCTGCCATTTCTCCGGGGGCTTCGACTCAGAGAACGTGGTGAGATTGTGCGACGAGGTCTTGAAAGGGATCTCGTGTCCGATCGCCGCCCATTGGAAATATCAGAGTAGGGCGATCTCGTGCGGGGACGCCCGCGAGGGGATGGTGATCGTGAAGGCATTGGGCAGTTGGTGTTCGAGTTGTAGAGTCTGACCAAAGCGCGTCAAACGCGAGGCTGATGTCAACTCGGAAGTTTCGATGTCACGTGCGTAAGTCACTGCTATAGTCTAGCCGAAAAGGGAAGCTTTTGACGTTCACGAACCGCGAGGTAATCAACAGGCTCAACCTCAGCTGTATACCTAGCTTCTGTTTCTCCTGAATGGGCTTTACCACATTTCCGATGGCTGCTGAGCCCGCGATTCTGGACTGCATATGTTCACGTTACTTAATGGAGCTCTTGATAACCTGGGTTAGGGAGCTAAAAAAGAAGAGCCCGAGGAAGAGAGCTCTGCTTATTGCGTCTCAAAATTGCCAAGAGGTCAGAGCATTCTGTATTGTCTGAACTCCATAGATTCTATGTTTGACGCAGTAAATCACCGAGAATTCAGCAGAAAACGAGGCCCAGCACCCAATGAAAGCTTGCATGTGGAACGTAAAACGCCATGAATGAATCTGCTCAGCGCCCGTCGCCTGTGTCCCATAACCTAGCATCCCTCAATTTAAAAACCGTCCTATTCATCGACTCCATAGACGTAATCTCCATCGTCATCAGCGTTTGCAAGGATGCAAAACCTATCATCTTGTTCAAATTCGAAGCTATCAAGATTATCCGCATCTTCTACCTCGTAAGGAACATCATCATCCCAAGCACGATACAGGTTGCCAAGGCAATCTTCGAGGTCTGTCTGCAGTTTGACTTTGGCAGGTGAGCTAACCCTTCTGGAAGTAGTTCGAGTTCCGGTAGAGCTGTGATGCTCAAAAAATACTTCGGTGTCATTCTCAAGCTGTTTTATGATTTCAAGATGGCTCGCAGAGAGCTTGGATGGAAGGCTGTCAAATAGTTTTTTGATTGCCTTTTTCATCGCTAGAGTGGCACTGTGGTGCATTTGAACACCCTTGTCCCTCATCTGGACTAAATGTGTCTCCTTATTTCTGCGGAAATGGCCCTCGCCTTTGGAATGTCAGCAGAAGGCATCATATAAAATGGCCATTGCTTACCTCTTTGAGCTGCACATTTTGCATACATAGGCTCCAAGTATTTCTTAACCGCAGGCGCCGCCACCACTCTATGACAGTCCCGGACCATCGCATCAAGATCCGCGGTAATCTTTCCAGTCTTGAAAGGAACAAGATCATTTGCCTTCTCAAATTGTGACTTCAAGAGGTCAAGTTCCAGAGCAAGCTCGGGGTAGATCACTTTGTCCGTTGCTACAATTGCAAAGTCGGCAATGAGCTTTCTTGCAGCTTCAATATAGAAACCAAAGTCCTGTTTGATACCTGTGTTACCGTAGAATGTCTCGGTCCACTCTCGGACCAGAGAGGATGTATAGTCAAATACGCTGTTCAAAGTTAGTGATGATGCTAAATATTTGAGGGACTTGCAACACACAGTCGTTCATTCCACTTATGATCCTTCCCTTTTCTCTGATCAGTCCATTGGCCTGACCGCTGATTCACAGCTCTGTGGGTATTCCACTGTAGTCTAGTCCCAAAGTCGATGACAGTTTTTTGCGATTCTTTCGCCGCTTCAATCTCGGCCTGCGGCATCTTCGAATAGAGTCTAGAATTAAGCTGTTGCTCCGCCGATTTTACGATACGGACACCAAGCTTGTCTAGATTCTAGAGCATAACAGTCAGCATCAAACTCTCCCGGGAGTGTTCTCATCATCCAAAAATATGGAACATACTAGATTCAGCTCTTTGATACGGGCCTGTAATGCGGGCTCCCACTGCTTTCTCTTAGCAGCGGAGATCTTGAGATCACCTCGCTTATCATCAATCCAAGGCTTCATTGAAGCTATTAACTGCTCAACATCCTGAAGAAATGCCTGAGCATTCTTCTCCCGGTTATCCAGTGTGAATTTGGTCAACCAGTCCCTCAGCTGCGGTATTTCAGTCTCTTGTTTAGTGGGGAAGCCCATACACTTCTTCTTGAAATTCTTGTTCTGATACTTCAAAAAAGTAGTTGACGCGGCGCAGAAAACTGGAAGTGGCTTCGTCAGATTTTCTTTACCCATTTCTCGTAGAGTATTCTCGAAGTCCTTCCGGACTGCTGCAATCTGTCGCGTTTTGCGATCATTGTAGCAAGCAACCGCGATCTGAGACATTGTGCCCTTTTGGGCATCGTTGAGCTGCTCAATTCTCTTCTTGAGGCTCAGCTGTTCCTCCGCATAGTTCCCTGCTTTCTCCTTTAGCCTGCCGTGTTTCGTTTCTAACTCTTCTAATGACGTCTGGTGGCCAATGCAAGAACTTTTCTCGGCTGTCATTTAAAATGAGTAAGGCATAGACAATAATTCAGCTTCAAGTGTGACTTACTTATCATGTCATCATCCATGCTACGCTTTCGCTTCAATTCCGATCTCTGGCGATCCAAGGCTGCTGTTTTGAGTTGCGCTATTTGGGCCTCAACTTTTTCAATCATGACTGTGCAATCTTTGTGAAACTCTTCTACCTCAGCAAGACTTTGCTGGCGTTCAAACATAGTCTTGTTTAGGTCTTTTCCCTTCTCAAAGAGAGAACGTAGGCTCTTCTTTAATACTGGCTTTTTGGCAAGGTAATCACCCATGTCAAAGTCTCTGTCATATTGACTTAGAACGAAGCATAGGTGTTCCGGATCGTATAACCCATCCATTTGCAGGTCACGCTTTAGGAGCTCCTCCATCAAGAGGTGGGCCTACAAATAGGTAGTTAGCAATGGCCATTTACCTCGATGAAGTGACAATGCTTACATTCTGATCATCAATACCCCTTCTAGCATCTGCAACCATTATTGTGACTGCCAGATGCTTTTGATAGTCCCCACCAATAGATCCTCTAGCAGAATTGCTGTCCATAGAACCAGGTAAGTCACATAGAACTATACCTGACTCGAGGATTTGGGACTTAACGAAGACCTTGACGCGCCTCACAAGCGGCCAGTGGGCAAAGTCCTTGCGATCCAATTCGCCAGCAGAAATGAATTTCTCGATTGAATCTGAAAATTGTTTCTGTCTGCCGCTTCTAATAAAAGCGGTCGAGCTCAAGACGTTTTGAACCGCTTCGTTGTCCATAAGCTCAGCGACCGATGTATCTCTGAGATCCTCGATGGAACGTAGATGGGGATAAACGGACTTGATCTTCGCCAATCCATCCATGATCCTCTCTTTGCGGTCTTGGTCTTCAAAAGCTGAATCTTCATCGGTCTCGCGAAAGTGGGCACGCACATCCTGGAATAGGACTTCAAGTTCGTTCTTCCATTCTTCGCTAGTAGCGAACTCAACTTCGGCACGAAAGAGTTCGTTCTCATCATCGCTATAGTTGTATGCTATCTCAACCGGAGTCGATGTACAGGCCTTGTACGACTCTGTAGGTAGCAAGTTATTCATCCTCAAAATAGCCGATATGAGGGTCGATTTTCCGCTGCCAGTACTTCCACGAACACCAACAAGGATTCTGTCTTCCTTGAGCTGCGTGAAAATTGCCTCTATGCCTTGCGTCAGCAAAGTTATATAACTTAGAAGAAATGGTAGTAGGAAATTGAATATAATTCCTGAGGGAGGATCTGTACCTATCCTTTCTATCCATAGCTGGGACGTCCTGGAGAGATACTCGGCCTGCTGTCTCTACAGGATGGATTTCATATGTGTCAAACATTGTCGAGCAGCGGCGGCAGCCTTTTCCTTGGTTACTACTTGCTTCAATCGCTCATTTGCTGAGAAGTTCTGCTTCCATTTTGGAATCCGAATGGCTTGCTCGCCAGGTTCATTTTTAAGAACGGTCTTCTTTACCGGGGCCATGGTGGCTATTGGAGTTTTCAAAATAGAAGGTGGCTCATAAAGTCTGAAGAAAGCTGATGTTGTTGGTGCCGGGGCAGTCTCAGACTCCTTTTTGATCTCGGAATTAGACATATGTATCTGGACCACCGCTGTTTCTTTCGAAGAAATACTCGAAAAGAGGGCTGGCGCAAAGGTTAGTCTTTGGGTGGAAAAGTGGATAAGTGAGAAAACTGAGCAGTCAGCGGTAGCTCAGGATAAATATTCCCCGGAGGCTTGACAGGGAGCTCGCTTGGTGGGTGACAGGCGTGCTGAAAGTGAGAGAGGAAATGAAGACGGAAGGAACCGTGAGGCAAGTTACGATGGGAGATAAAGTGAGTAGTGCTTGTGAGAGAAGTGTACGGTGTACAGAAGTGGAGGGAAGATAAGGACGAGCACCCGAAGAGTCTTTGAAGAGAGGGGAAGGGGGATGAGAGGACTAGTTAATTCGGTAGAGATATGTTGAAACTTACCTGGACTAAGCGTCCAGCTAGATTAGAACCACCGAGCTTGTGTGCTAATCAGAAAGAGGTTGAATTAAGAAGAGGTTAAATTAAGAAGAGGTTAAATTAAGAAGAGGTTGAATTGAGAAGAGGTTGAATTAAGAAGAGGTTGAATTAAGAAGAGGTTGTATCGAGAAGAGGTTGTATCGAGAAGAGGTTGTATCGAGAAGAGGTTGTATCGAAAAGAGGTTGTATCGAGAAGAGGTTGTATCGAGAAGAGGTTGTATCGAGAAGAGGTTGTATCGAGAAGAGGCTGAATTAAGAAGAGGTTAAATTAAGAAGAGGTTGAATTGAGAAGAGGTTAAATTGAGAAGAGGTTAAATTGAGAAGAGGTTGAATTAAGAAGAGGTTGTATCGAGAAGAGGTTGTATCGAGAAGAGGTTGTATTAAGAAGAGGTTGTATCGAGAAGAGGTTGTATCGAGAAGAGGTTGTATTAAGAAGAGGTTGTATCGAGAAGAGGTTGTATTAAGAAGAGGTTGTATCGAGAAGAGGTTGTATTGAGAGGAGGTTGTTGGAAGAAAGGAGTTTGCTGAGAGGGATTGAAGACTAGTTGAACTTGAATTCGATCCAAGACCTACCTACCTACCTAGGTACCTACCTAGTATTCAGTGGAAGTGAAACAAGTGAATATTATCGATTCAGCGGATCTCATGGACCAGGATAAAGTTGAAATATGTAGAGATCCAGCAATACTTTGAAGACGCCGTCAAGGGTTGAAGCTCACCAGATACGGTCATAAACTATGATGTTGGCTCAATCCACTCGGATTTACTATGATTTTGTACATTTGGCAACGATCACATATTAGGCACCTACTTGTATGAGTCTCCGGTGAAACGGAGCTTAAAATTCTATCCTGGGGTGAAGACAGTCACACATTCTTGTCAAATGTACCAACGCGCCTCTCGGCTACACTACAGCGTGAGATTTAGAGACCGAATCTTAATTCCTCCATTCTATGTACATACAACCTGACATATCCGGTCAGGTTCAGCGATAGTATCCAGACGTCCCTCAGGGTCCGCTGTTGTGATGTGAGTATGTCTGGCGCGTTCGAAGGTGGATTGGTGTCTCCCCTGCGGGAGTATCTGGAATGACCTTCTCGAGTTTCTGTTCGCAGGATTAGCACCCTTTCAACAGATATTTCAATACCGACTTACTAGGTTGTCGAAGACACATTTGTTTAGCTTCCATTCTTGTGCACGGCACTGCCAGAGCTGTTGGTTGTTGTTGTCAAGGCAAGTCCAGTGCTTCCGGAATTCGGCGAGGCAGTGTTTGTTGACATCGTCAAGCCTGTCGGTGTATGCCCAGTCAGTAAAGACCTCTTTGTAACTGTGCCGCCTTTCTTCCGGCCCTCTGCCACCCTTTCGCGCGCGGTCTCTTGACCCTTGCCATCGGCGCTTCAGTCGCCCCCTTCACCAAGAAGGAAAACAGCCCGGGATAGATTGCGATATGCCGCATGATCTGGAATGCCACTCACACGCTCCTCGCACATCTGGTGACTCTCCTTCCTTCCTTCAAACACTCCACCTCTCCCTTTCCAGGATTCTCGGTCTTGCATTGCATGAAATCGTCATTGTACGGCTTGCATCTTGCTCCGATGAAGAAACTCGCCGATAACAATGGCGCAGAACTGGCTCCGATTTCTGTGACCGCTGGGATGTCAGCGGGAAGGGGTGTTGTGTCAATCAGGGTCGTCTGGTTGAATCTGCAATTGCGCATGATCAGCAAAGCGTTCGCAGATTGTGTTCATCGAGAGAATGGAGACATACACAGCCTTTCGTCCCGACATCTTGGAGGTGCTTTCAGAGGTGGGCGAGGTTTGTTGGAGACGCAATGGATTGTTAGAGAGGACTCGGAGCTTCAGGAAGCTCGAGTGAGGTCAGGAACACCAAAATCTTGATTGGCCGATGAAGCGAACATCGCGAGCCAAATTCAGAGAGCTTCGACACGCCTACATATCAACAATTTCATATTGCCTTCACTCCTTTCTCAGATAATGAATTGCCCAGGAGCTTGATATCTTGTTTCTCTGTTATAGGAAGTCTCAGCCTCAAGTCTTGAAATCCTGCCGGTGGCCGCAGACCTGCGCGATTCTCTTTGACGCGCTTCAACGGTACATGCCTCCTGCGCGCCATTGAAAGTCTCGCATCAACGGGCCTCCTCTACACGCCTGCTCACCTCCACGCTTTGTACCTTGCAGTCGCCGGGCTCTGTAGCTATACCGTCGAATACTTTTCACCATGTTCGGGGCTTCGTTTGGGCAGAATAACCAGCAGTCGGGCGGTGGGCTATTTGGAGCTCCTAAAAGCACTGGGACTCAGCAAACCGGAGGTGGATTGTTTGGTGGACTCGGAACAAATAATCAACAAAGTCAACCGCAGACTGGAGGGCTTTTCGGTGGCCTGGGTCAAAGCACACAAACACAACCGCAGCAGCAGCAGACGGGAGGGTTATTCGGCCTTGGCCAGAGCACACAGCAAAATCAACCTCAGCAGCAGACCGGCGGGTTGTTTGGATTAAATCAGAATAATCAGCAACAAGCTGGCGGTCTCTTCAACAACTCAACACAGCAGGGAGGGCTTTTCCAAAACTCGGTGCAACAGCAACCATTAGCCCAGTCACAGCAGGGGCAACTAGGCTCTTCATTATGGCAGCCAAACAGTGGTCTCAATCCTCGTATGTCTGTAAAGCTATTTACTGGTCCTAGGCTAACTTTGAGAAAGGTGAAAAAAGTATCCCAGATCAGATGGCAGGTATTATGGAGCAGTGGGATACTGGCAACCCGAACTGCGCTTTCAGATACTACTTCTACAACAAAGTCAGCGACGACTCAGCACCTTTATACCGACCCGGCCCTAACGAAGATCCGAAGAAGTGGGAGGAGGCTCTTTCAAAGAAGCCAGGTCCTGGATTCATTCCAGTGCTCTGCACCGGATTTGCTCAGATGGGTGAGAGAATAAAGACACAGCAACGTAACTTGGCGAACTTCAACGCCCGTCTACACGAAATAAATGGCTCCCTTTCCGCTCTGCTACAGAACCATGATACGAAAATCAGCATCCGGGCGATGGATGCGAAGAGGAAGCATGCGGTGTTAAAGCAGAGGTGTCTTGCGTTAGCTACCAAAGTCCAGGTCTTGAGGAATCGAGGATATGCGATGAGTGGGGATGAGGAGGACTTGAAAGCAAAGTTAATGGCTCTGGATAGAGGTGTCAGTGATCCAGCATTGGGTGCGAGAGCTGAAGAGATCTGGGCGAGAATGATTACTGTGCAAGAACGCGCGAGGTTACTCAAAGGTGAACTTGAGAAGACCGGTACACAAAGTCCGGATGTCCTCGATGAAGAAACCGATAACAAGGCGAAGAAGGTATGCTACTCAGGTCATCAGTCAAGCAGCAGTACTAACTCATCTAGATTTTGGAGGACTACCAAACGCAATTGGCCCACTTAAAAAAGGAGTTGGATAACATCCAGCAAGATTATGTTGAATGGGAGAAGCAGCAGCCTGCCGCTGCGAAGGTCAACGGCCGATGAAGATACCCCAGGTGGAGTTCAACGATTAGAGGAAAAAATGCTAGTCTGCTGGCCTGCAGACATGATGAACTGCAGCATAATGATCTGTACAATACTAAAACGGCTCCATGAGAGGATGTATATATGCCCGACAGTTGGTTGTGGGATTCAGACGAGCCAGTCACTTTGCGTGTGGGGAGCCTTATGGGATCGGGTTCATAGCTGTATGAAGAATGAAATATGTGCCCTCTTCCCAATCAATTCTGGCCATGCAGTAGCGATACCTTAAGTCTGTAGAATTCAGAGTGCTCTCGCTGTACCTTCCTTTACCTTTATACCTCATTGGTAAGGTACCTAGGTACCTATAAGGTAAGGTAGCCTTGTCTCCATCACGTGATTCTAGCCTCGTCGGGAACTTTTCAACTTCGCATAACATTGTCAGGCATTGCCAACTTCCCGACCGGCGAACCAGCACACGTTGGCTTCGAGATGATGCAGAGGCCGCGAAACCGTCAGGGGCGTCCGCCACCGCAGAACGGCAGGGCAAGAGGTCGGGGAGGAGGTGGACACCGCGGTGGTCGTCAAGAGCGGCCGGCTCTCTCTCACAACGTGCCAAGCACCCAGCAAGTCGTCGCTGGGTCCTTCGTGTCTATCGTCTTGAAGATCGACCAGCCGACGGGTCGGGAAGTGCAAGGGATTGTGGCAGACGTCCTGACGAGCGGGAACCACCCACGGGGGATCAAAGTTCGGCTGGTGGATGGCAGGGTTGGCAGGGTGCAGAGAATGGTGACTGAAGACGAAGCAAGAGCTGGGTCAGCGGGATTGAGTGGCCTGGGTCGAAATGGCGAGGTTGTCAACGGCCAGCATATCATCAGTCGTCCTGCTGCTCCTCCAGGGTCACGGATCGCTCTTCGATATCGTGATGTGCGTGAAGAAAAGAGTCAAGAACCCCCTTCCAACTACAGCCTTGGGGACTTCCTTCCATTGGGCCACCCATTGCGAGAAAGCCCGATAACTACATCTTCATTGCTTCCCGAGCCCCTTGATGTGGAATCTACTTCGCAGGTCTGTCCCGTGTGTGGAGAATTCGAAGGTGATGAGGTTGCTGTTTCTCACCACGTGGCCACCCATTTCGACTAAGTCAATTCTTTTTGATATCGAAGATGGGACCAGTTGGCTTCAGAGGCAAAACTCCAAAAGCCTTCTCTACATGATCGGCTCAAGCCTATCTCGATGATAGATTCCCGAGTATAGAAGGGGTGTCCTGAAGTTCTGAACTCCATGACCCAGCATACTCTGGACGACGACGGGCAGGATGCTGACCATCTTTAACTGGATGGGTCAGATGCCCATAGTTGAAGTGGAAGAGCATCAACTTTTCGGTCATCCCACGATCGCACCTTATAACGGGCATCGGGTACGCGGAGTCTTCAAGCCTTCATGGTTATCCATGCATTGATTTTCCGCATATCCTCCCGGGGAAGGCAGGAAAGTATATTTTTCTCAGGAAATAAACAACGAAACAATTGCATCCCATTGGAAGACTTCGCTGCCCATTTGGACTCTACAAGATGACCCGATTCTGGTCTAGTTATATTCCCATCCCATATAATAGACCTAATCAGAATCGATCGAAAAAACAGCAAGGATGGGATACGACGGTAACGAAAGGATGGATGATTTAAGAGCGAATTCGAATAGAAGAATTGATCCTACGATGAACTCTATCCTTGAGGGCTTACCAGTTAATCGTTCGGTTGGCCCTCCCTCACCCAATCCTCGGTCAATTACCGTATTGGGTGAGGGAGGGCATTACGCCAAAACCAGCAATACGCAGCACTACTACCCTTTTACTACTCAATATGGGCCCCAAAAGTGTTCTATAGTACTCGCACATCCGAATTCGAGAGTACCTGCAACTGGTACTACTACCCTAGCAAAACACCTTACGTCCAAACAATGCGTCAACGCATCTACAAGTCGAAGTCAAGGCTTACGAAGACAACTAACGCGGATTACACGCGACCTCCTCCAATCTTCAACTAGTTACCGATGGATCCTCAAACATATCAAAGCACCGCATTGAAAACATCTCCTTTATCACAGAGGGGACCTCATACTATTGGCGGAGCGTTGGGATTGGGGCTACTGTAGCTGGTTCAGAGTGGACAGTGGACTTTGTCAAGAAACAGGCCCTAGAGATAACAGACAACAGGCTAGAGAGGTGACGTCTTTTTCAACCGATACCAACAATACTCAGCCCCGGGTTTGGAAGCTTATTCAGGCTATATCAGAGCTCTCTCACGTCCACTCAATCCCCTGTGATTCTCATGGCCTTCAACTTGTCTTTAAGGACTTACTTTGGCCTACCCTGGATCAACACGGGCAACAGATTGAAACAGATATGGGTGATTTCTTTCGCAACGGGCTGAATACAGTAGTGGGTTTCTTTACCAGCTCTGACAAGCAACTGGCCTATCTGCGAGGTGTCCAAATGAGCACTTTTGGGAAGCACAAAGCTCTGATATCTACTGTACCAAAACGCTGAGGCACTCAATATCACCAGATTCAGTCACTAGGAGGCAGAAACACCGAGATCTTGCGGACGCTACTCCAGACCGTAGAGGTTTTACGGTGTACGAAGACCCTGTTTCCGGACTGCCTTCAAGTCCACAAGACGCCGTTACAACAGATATCCCACAACCACGGCTTTCTACGGACCTACAATCCTCTGAGTTCTACGACCCGAACTTTACGCTACCGTCTGACTCTGAGCTCCGTAATCCATACCAGCTTCACGACCCCCAACTCTCTTCCGAACTCTCTGATCCTTTCTTGACCCCACCAGTCCCAGTTTCTACTCAGCGACTACAGGATCTTAGTAGCGCTAAGTCTAGTCGAAAGAAGAGAAAGGAGGCAAGTGGCAAAGTGGTACAGAAGTATAGGGAGATCTATAGGCACCAGGCCCGGGCTGGGTACAGAAGGCATTCGGGCCAACAGCACGGCTCTACGAGAGCGAGTTCGCGGTGATAGCGAAGGGACTACCAGTCGACCGTAATATGCGTGTGGATAAGGGCGTGTTACTGTCAGACATACAGGCTCACATCCCAGAGGTTACGAAGATTAAAGTCGAGCCCGCAAGGGCCCCTACAGCGAAGTTCACGACGGCCGTGCTACACCTCCGGAGCGCAGAGGCGGCGACGCGCCTGTGTGATCGAGGACTGATCTGGCAAGCCCAGATCTTCAACTGCGAGCCGTATTCGGCCGACCTCCGGATCCGTAGATGCTTCCAGTGCCACCAGTTTGGCCACAGCGGACGGTTATGCAAGAATCAGGCCCGGTGCGGCCACTGCGCGGGAGCGGCACACTAAGGAGATTGAAGAGGATATAAGGAGTGAGAGGAGGATAGTTAATATAAGGGAACAGCGCCTAGCTAAGCCCTGGCGGAACAAATATAAGAGGGTTAATACAGGAGTTACAAATGACTATAAAGCGTGATAATAGCGTTATTCCACAGTTTACGGGTTCAAGACTATAGGATACAGATACTAAGTTATATAGAGATCAACCGCTATAGTCATGATTTTTTTAATATATCAATCATATCAACCTTTTCAATAGGTAGGTAGACTTCAGCTACTTGACGATATACCTAGGACCCTATATTTGCCTAGGTAAGGTATATGACTAGTAGAAATAACTACTTCTATACATGCCGCCACAGTTGTTGAATGCGTTAGGTGGTATAGTAATGGTAGGGATCAGATTTGCGTATTGCTGGTTTTTGCGTATTGCCCTCCTTCAACCGAGGATTGGGTGAGAGTTGGCCAACCGAACGATTCTTGTCTGACAGGAAGATATTTTAAACCAGTTCAGCAATTCCAATCCTTCCTCTCATCAAAAGAGCAAAAGCCAGGACCGCGTAACACATCTTCTATACGAGACATTTTGTTAAGGGAGGCAATCTAAAAAAGAGAAAAAAAAAAGTAAAACTACAACACCGTGGCAGTTGAAGCCAGCTCCTCCAATCCATCGTCTAAAAAACGCCCTGCCATATGCTTCGCTGTAATCGCTGGCATACCATGTTGAATCAGATCAATCCACAAACTCCTTTTGCTAGTAGCTCCATATTGAAAATGTTCTTCTTATCCCGTTATTCATGATCCATGTCGCAAAGCATAGTGATAGCTCGGAAAATGGGGGTTGGGGGGGCTGAAGCACCGTCTTAGACTTCGTCGACGGCATCGACGGGCCCACAGGTACAGAAAAGGTTCATGTCGCCGTATGCTAGAATCTTCATTAGTGGGCGAGATATTTGGAGGGAGAAGAGGACCTACTATCATCTAATCTCGTAACGCTAGGCCAGAATTTCTTCTCCTTCAACCAAGGTAATGGGTACGCAGCCTGCTCACGGGTGTATGGACGATCCCACTCTCCAATCAGTAAATCCTTCTGGGAGTGTGGTGCCATCTTCAAGATATTGTTTTCTCGGGGAGCCTTTCCTTCTTCAACAGCCCGGATCTCCTCTCGGATCGAGATCAAGGCATTGATAAAGCGATCCAGCTCTTCTTTGCTCTCGGATTCGGTGGGCTCGATCATGAGAGTGTTAGCTACTGGCCAACTCATAGTTGGGGCATGGAAACCGTAGTCTTGAAGGCGCTTTGCGATGTCAATGGCTTCAATACCAGAAGTTTCTTTGAAGCCTCGAACATCCAGGATGAATTCGTGAGCACAGCGAGAGTTGACGTTGGTATATAGGATAGGATAGTGGGGACGAAGTCGGGACATGATATAGTTGGCATTCAAGAGCGTGATCTTCGTGGCATGTGTCAAGCCTCGACCGCCTGAGAGAGTTAGCAGGAATACAAAAAAGGAGCGCTATGCTTACCCATCATCTTGATGTAAGACCAGCTGATCGGTAGGATGCTTGCGCTTCCCCATGGAGCACCGCTCACAGGTGCGATGGCCTTCTCACCGCCTGTTGCAACGAGCGGATGCCCTGGCAGGAAAGGTGCCAAATGAGACTTTACACCAATTGGACCAACACCAGGACCACCGCCACCATGGGGGATACAGAAAGTCTTGTGAAGGTTGAGATGGCAGACATCGGCTCCAATCTCACCCGGAGAGCAAAGACCGATTTGGGCGTTCATATTTGCACCATCCATGTACACCTGGCCACCATGTTGATGAACGATATCGATCGCAGCCTTGACCTCGGGCTCAAAAACACCAAAGGTGCTAGGATAAGTAATCATGATGGCGCCAAGCTCTTCACTGTATTTCTCACACTTTGACTTCAGATCCGCTATGTCTAGGTTACCCGTCTTCGTATCGCATTTGATAGTGACGACGCGCATGCCGGCCATGGCAGCAGAAGCTGGGTTTGTACCGTGAGCAGACACTGGGATCAAGCAAATATCGCGCTTCTTGCCAGGCTGCTGCTCCTGGTACTTTCGAATAACACGAAGTCCAGTAAATTCACCTTGGGCACCGGAATTTGGTTGCAAAGAAACTGCATCAAATCCAGTAATTTTAGCCAGATCTGCCTCCAATTCGTCAAACATCATCTTGTAGCCAGTGGCTTGGTCAGGCGGTGCGAATGGATGAATAGATGAGAATTCTGGCCACGTTATAGGAGCCATCTCGGTTGTAGCGTTGAGCTTCATGGTGCAAGATCCCAAGGGGATCATGGAGTGGGTCAGGGACAGGTCTTTCGACTGGAGATGGTGGATATAGCGAAGCAGCTCAGTCTCAGAATGATGAGAGTTGAACACGGGATGGGTGAGATACTCCGAGGTTCTCTTTAACGCAGCAGGGATGGGCAGCGTCCCATTCCCGGGTAGGGATGCGATGATCTGATCGATCTTGATTTCTTTGGCGGATTTTGCGAACTTCTTGAATATTGAAAGGATGTCGTGAAGGTCCTCAATATCGACGGTCTCATCAATGGTTATACCCAGGCGACTGTCGTCAAATTTCCTCAAGTTGATCTTGTATGTGTCGAGGGCGTGTGCCAGGACCTCATCTGATTTCCCCTGACCAACATTAACGACAACGGTATCGAAGAGTACTCTTCCATCTTCGCCCTTTCCTCTGCTGCCGGTCTCGAACCCAAGAGTTCTAAGGCCTTCCTCGATAATCCTGGCGCCATTGATAGCTCTCTCAGCAATATTCTTGAGACCTTGCGGACCGTGGTAGATGGCATAGAACGCACTCATGTTCGCCAACAGTGCTTGTGCTGTACAGACATTGCTAGTAGCCTTCTCTCGTCGAATATGCTGCTCTCTGGTTTGCAAGGCCAACCGCATAGCTCGGTCGCCCAGTCTATCTTTCGAAACTCCAATAAGACGCCCCGGAATCTTTCTCTTGTGCTTGTCGCTAACAGCAAAGAAAGCCGCATGAGGTCCTCCGTATCCAAAAGGTACACCAAATCGCTGAGCGTTTCCGAAGGCAATATCAGCGCCAAACTCGCCAGGTGGAGTCAGAACGGTCAAGGCTAGGAGATCTGTAGCAACGCTGAAGGTAGCACCTTGCTCGTGAATAATGTCAGCCAGGCCCTTGAAATCCTCAACACCACCTTCAGTATCGGGATATTGGACTAGAACTCCAACCAAGTCGCTGCCGAGTTCCTTAATCCGCTTTCCCCCATCTGCGAGAACGTCGCCAACTTCAATCCTGATACCGAATCCATCGGCCCGGCTTTGGAGAACAGCCCTGGTTTGTGGGTGGACCAGGTGGCTGACGAAGTAGGTCTTATTCTTATTCTTCTGTCTTGGGGTTGGAAGCGCGTTCAGGGACAAGGTCATTGCCTCAGCAGCAGCTGTAGGCTCGTCAAGCAACGAGGCATTGGAGATTGGTAACGCCGTTAAGTCAGAGACCAGTGTCTGAAAGTTCAGCAGCGACTCCAGTCGTCCTTGACTGATCTCTGGCTGGTATGGAGTATAACTTGTATACCACCCAGGCCCCTCCAAGACGTTTCTCTTGATGACCTCAGGTACTCTAGTTCCCGCATACCCGCATCCAATGTAGCTTCGCGCAATGGTGTTCTTCGAAGCAATTGACTTCAGTCTCGCCAGCAATTGTGACTCGGTATATCCTTCCTCCCCTCCAGATCTCGCCGCGTCGATTTCGAGGTCCTTCGATGACAGGATGTCGCTCGGGAGAACTTGCTGGACGAACTCATCCAGGCTCTTGACAGGCGGATCCAAAGCCTTCAGCATCTGTTCGGTAGCATCCGAGGTAGGCCCAATATGGCGTCTGGCAAACGTATCGAGAGGGAGATAAGCCCCGCGTGAGACTTCTGCCGTGGGTGAGCTGTTGGACTCATCACTGGCAGAGCTTGTGTAGAAGGTCCGTCTCAGTTGAGAGCCTGCAACAGATCGCGCGCTTTGCCGGCCAACCCATGGTCGTGAGAGCTGGGAGGGTCGTCCTGCCGAGCTTCTGGATTGTGCGAGCAGTCGCCCGAATTGCGCCCGGCAAAGACTTGAAGTCGCCATGGAGTCGGATGCTTGAGCTCAACGATTGAGGCAAAAGTGGGTAGAAAAGAGGGTTCAAAGCGAATGTTTATGGAGTTGTTCTTGCTCGTGGGGGGGGCTGGGATTCTGATAAGGCTGAACGAGTCAACAACCCCTCATGGCGGTGCCGGGAAGGCTTCGATTTGGTGTCTAAAGGAGTCGAATGAATGATATGTCCTGAATCCCAGAGCTCCGGCAGATATTTAGGACTGACTGAGAAAACTCTTTCCCATTAGCTGAAGATACAAGAATGGGGGAGGTATAACTTTCTTCACATGCTCGCCTGGACGGCTCCGCTAAATATAAATCTCTGGGCCAAAAGATTTTGGGATTTTTGGCGAGACCAGACCAACAACCATCTCTTCCCCGTGAATATCCGCACCCGTCCATCCCTTCACCCGCCCGCATACAACACCGCAATCATGTTCGGAGGACGTATGTACATCATTCCTGACGGGAAAGCTCTTGCTGATCTAGACTTGCAGCTCCACCACAACTCAGCGCCGAAGAGCTCAAGGCTCAGGAAGCCGAAGCCACCCTCACCGTCCAGAGAATCATCGTTGGATCTATCCTTCTCTATCTCTGTAAGATATCCTCCCTACATCTTGGACGCTCTGGAAACGTCAGACTGACGGTTGATGATGCAGCACCATTCGCGATCGATGCAGCAAAAAAGCTTTTTTAAGGGTCGAGGATGATCCTGGCATCAATCACCGTACGCTCACGATACTACCAAGGTAGAGCTGTTGTAACATAATGGGTCGAGGGACTGTAATGGGTTGATGGCGGAGTTTATGATGCATACGGGAGTCTGGCTAGACTGGTCGACATAATCACTGTACAATCTAGAAATCACACATCCATCGACTATACCCAGAACATGTCGCCATCAAGTGCCTTGCTACCTATCCTAGTATCCGGGCTTCAGCTGTGGCGTGTGGTTTTGAGTTGAAACAGTGCGAAAAGAGTTGAGAGAGACAATTCAGAGCATGTTTCCGGTGTCTGAGGAATGCCTAAAATGCTTCGAACCCCTATTCCCTCCCGTGGTCTTCAGTCTTCAAAAGTGTTCTAGGATTCGATTATTTCATTGAAACTTGAAGTTTTACCTCTACTTCTCACCCGTATCAATTAGATAGATGGATTGATAATTGGGACTAGGAGGAAAGCAATGGGTACTTTGGGTAGGTAGGTATCTAGGAAATAGGGGTAGAATCGCATCACTTCTCACATTGAACGACAGAATCGTGCTAATCTGCCGAGACTTTTGCATTACTCTCTAAACGAAATCATTCACTATATATCGGTCTATAGCACCATTTAATGCAACGCCCTACCCTTCACGCTTGCAGCTCAAGCAAAGCTCTTGACCTCGCCCTCCTTAATCTTGCCCGCAGCCTCTAATCTCTTGATCTCCTCAGCCCAAACAGCCTTAATCTCACTCGACACCTTCAGGCCGTTCAACTTGCCTGCCAACGCTGCAATCTCATCAGCATCCACCTTACCCTGCACGATCTCCACGTCACTCAGCACTGCATCAATGACCTTCGCATCGGGCTCTCCTTCAACAAAGTAGTTCGCGTCCTTGACACTGCCCTTCAGCACACGCCTGTTCTTCTTAACGGCGGCCTTCGCTGCTTCTTTAGCCTTCTTGCCTAGCTCTTTCTCTGCCTTGGCCTTCTCCTCTGCTTCCTTAGCAGCCTTCTCTGCCGCCTCCTTAGCCGCCTTTGCCTCCTCCGCTGCCTTCTTTTCAGCCGCCTCCCTTTCTAAGCGCTTCTTGTTCTTAGCCGCATTGGCTTCTTGACGGAATCGCTTGATACGTTCATCACCCGCCATGGCATCATCGACTAATTTTCTCAGACGAGCGGAATCCTCGGTCTTCTTCTTCTTACGGGCATTGTTGTTCTTGCGCTCCATGTGACGCTTTTGATCACGATTCTCGTTGTCGTCGGGAACATCCTCGTCTTGATATTCGAATGAGCGCCATGAGTCGAAGTTATAGAAGAAGTTGTAGAAGGCATCGACTTCCTCCTTTGTGCTGTTCTCATCTCCGAACTTGGGAACCGGCTGGATGCGAGAGAAACGGCCTTCGGCTTTGAATACGTTGCCCCAGAGTTTATAGAACTTGTCGCCCTTGGCTTGCTTCTTGGTGGGGGGTTCGACATCTGCGTGTTCGTCGACAGAGTCATATTGACGACGCTTGACGGGGTCGAGAAGAATTTCAGTGGCCTTCTGAATGCACTTGAAGAAACTGTCATCCTCGGTGCTACCGGCGGCAGCTTTCTTGTCTGGATGATGGCGGAGGACTTTCTTGCGGTGAGCACGCTTGATCTGTTCTTCGGTGGCCTTGTATCGGTACTTTGATAGACCGAGGACAGCGTAGTGATCTTGGCTCTGAAATAGCATTAGCATGATTCAAAAGAGAAGAGAGGGGCATAAACCTACCTTCCAATCCTTGGCATCCCGCGACAGCATCATTGGGTCCTCGGGCTCGCTGATCTCTCCATCATCTTCGTCTTCGACCTTCTTGGCATTTACTTGAGCTTGGATCCTGTCATCTTCCGAGAAGGTACGCTTGTGACGGGCACGGCGAGCGTGAGCAAGGAAGTGAGGTCCAACAGGCTCAATGCTGCGTTGAGTTGCAGCTGAGAGACTTCCAAGAGCCTTGAAATCCTTCTCTGCTGACCAGCCCTCTGGAAGGACTGGCAGGGGAAGAGACACTTCAGTGTAAGTAGCCATTGTAACTGACCTCGTGGAGGTGATAAGCTACGAATTGACCTTGGTCTCGCAGTGATTGACCTGGGGAGCGAAGAATCCGACCTTCGAGAAAAAAGTTCCAACTGGGCGGCGGCGCGCGCGGCTAAACACCGGATAGCCTAAGCTTGATAAAGACTAGTGGATATTGCACCTGACTACACCGAAAATCGTGGAAGACGACTGGTCCCTTGTCTCGATTTGACTTGACTAGGAGTCGATATACAACATAACGACTACAAGAACATACAATACAATAAACAGCTGCACGCTCTTGCTCTCTAATTTGCTTCCTCCTTTTCCCTTGACTTCTGGGCATTCTATCTCTTTGGTCGGCTGTCCCCTGGTCTCCGCACGCCAGTTCAACCTCCCCCCGTGTCGCCAGGTACGTGTTCCTCTTTCGTCTACCTCTGTCTTGCTTGCCGATTCGCATTCTTCTAGTCTCGCTTTACGGTTATCTGGACTGTTTGGGCGATTGTCAGTCAGTTCTGTAGCAGGAATTTCGAAAATGCGCCCTTTACCTCTTCAATCCTTCTTCTTCAAAGTTGCAGAAACTCTCTGTCACTTCCCTCTAGTCCCACATTTGCTTCATCTCTCGTTCTGTTTTCACTATCTCGTCTATCCTCTTCAGGCGGGGGGGCCACTTCTGCTTTGCCGGTTTGGGTTCCTGGATGGGTTCCTGGACGGCTACGCCGTCGCTAGGGGTTTTCTCCGACCCCAGACGGAGCATCATGGCTTTTTGTATTATCTCGTCCGTGTTCATCCCAGGGCCATATACGTGAAATTCGTATCCTCGTCTTTTGATAATATCGATATCTGTGGCAGTCTCGGACCTAGTATCCTCTGCCTTCTCTGTCTTTCCAGCCTCTGACTTGGTTCCCATCCTCCTGCTGTGGACGACATCAGACGAATAGACGAAACTTCTCACTGCGATTATCTCGTTTGGGGCATTCATTGTCGAATATTCTTGAAGATTAAAGGTGTCCTCCCGGTCTGGGCCCACAGTGGTGCTACTTGGAGACTCGGAGAGGGGGCGATAGATGACTGTTTGCTTTTCGGTGATTGAGGAAGTTTCCGAATACCCAATTTCAGCACCACGCAGTTTTCGAGCCAGGTCGGCATTGGAGTCCGTAGCGGACTGGTTGGACGACATGTTGTTTATGTTTTTTTGAGCAGTGGTTATTCTGACAGTAAATCGAGAACCAAGTCGGATCAAAGCTTTTCGATAGTTGCAAGTGCTGTGGTTGTTCAAGTTTCTTGTGTTGTAGTGACTTTATCAAGATACTCTGTGAAACTGGAAAAGAAGAAAGGAAAATTGTGAAGAAGACGGGCTGACCTACGGTTCAAATACCTAGAAATCGACCTCCCAGTCCGGACCCAAATCGACTCTCAGTTGAAATCCAAATCGATATCTCAGTTCAAATCTAAATCATGGCCTTACAAGCCTACAGGCACCTCCTTCGCTCGACTCGCATAGCCTTTGCCGGTTCGTCCCGTTCTCCCTCTAGTCCTATGCCAGGCACCTACTAACACCTTGATGGCACCAGGCGACGCACCAGTCCTCCACGCAGCACGTGCCGAAGCCCGTAATGGTTTCCGTCAGAACGCAGCCCTGTCTGCCGGCTCCCCTGAACTGGCCGAGGCAGTCAAGCATGCTGAGGAGGTAGCACAAATCCTCAGACATAATGTCGTGCAGGGAAAGAAGGAGGGCGAGGATCTGTACAGTGAGTACCTCAAAAATTTCATCTTAGCGACACCATCATGGCATGATATCATGTGGCATAGGGCTGATTGTAGTCAATAGAATTGAAAATACATGAACATACGGAGCGGGGCGATAACGATACGGTCAAGATGCCGAATGGAAAATCGGTTGTGATCGATGGCAAGACCTGCGCGGATCGATGATACCAGAACGCTAGGCGATGAGAATTGTAGGATAGGTGTATATTCGGTATAGAGAGGGACATCAGTTGTCACGTTGTATCATATCTATAGACAAAAGTGCTTGGGTATGACCTCTTGAGGTCGTCTTTTGTACTCATGGTTGCTGTACTATACTACAAACATACCAAGGCATCGCAATGCCATAATTCCCCTTTTTGACCACCTTACTCCAAACTCCACGCAGTTCAACGCCGTCCTAATTCCCAGCAAGACTGGCATACTGTACGTCGCCCTGGCCGGGCGGAGGCGCAACCGCAGCCATGTTCGCCAGATCATCTTTCGGCGGCGCCTCGATATATCCCGCATCATTTCTGCCCTCGACTGCTCGACTTGGGCCCGAGTCCGCAAACGCGGATCGTCCTTCTCTTCCAGTTGCTGATCTTTCTTCCTTATCCATCGTTCCAATAGGTCTCGGTCTTCCCCATTGCACTCGCAATGGGCACCCGGCAATCACCGCCCTCCCTTGTAGCGCTGCAGCCGCAGCTTCAGCACCCTCTCTCGTAGCATAGTTGATGAATGCGCAGTGTGACATGTGTGAGCACACCAGCGATCGCAGCTTTCCGTACGGGGTAAAGAACTCTCGTATCTTGTACTCGGGCAAGTCATCCTCGACACCGGTGATGAATAACGACGTGATAGACTTGTCGGCAGGTGGCAGAATATCCTGAGGACCAGGAGGTAATTGCGCTGCGCTAGGGAATGCTCTCCCCCCTCGTGCTCCACCTCTGCTGCCGCGTCCCACGCCCCTTGCTGACCCCTGCCCACGGCTATCTCGTGTTCGTATCGGACCCGGACCACCCGCCGTCAACGCATTCGAGTTCGCATTCGCATTCCCATTCCCATTCCCATTCCCTTCGGCGCCCTCACCCTCCGCGGGTCCAATCCTCCTCTGTTTCTTGAAGTAAGGCTGGCTATTCGCCAATCTCCGGAGCAGTTCTCTAGCTTTCTCATCCGTCTTTTCGTAGTTCTCTACCTCGCCTCTTCCCTCTTCAATCTCCTTCTCGTGCTCCTGCGCATAGTATTCTCGGTTCACTGCGCTCTGCGGACCAGGCGCCACCATCTTCAGCGCTGCGTCTCGGACTACAATCGGCAAGCCGAAGGAAAGATCGAGCATGCAACATTGGCAGCAATTTTTGAGACGCGCGCAGGTAAGGCAGATATTTGTGTGCTTCGAGCGCGACGTCCTGTCCGCTTTCCAGGTAAAGACTGTAAAAGGACGTGTACATATCTTGCCTGGGCTATATGTTAGCACTGGAAATGGAGATGCGCCGGGGTCTGGGACCGCTTACATTCTGCGCCATGATCGTTCTTCAGCATTTGGACGTAGGGATTGTCGGGGAGGCAGTTCTCACAGACTGAGGGGAAATCGGTGGTCTCCCAACCGGAGCGGTTGAGATCTTGTTTGATTTGAGGAGGCATGGTCAAGATGTTCAGCGCGGTGCCGGCAGACTGGGGACAAAGAAGTCTGCGCAGGGATATAGTCCTCTCTCTCCCGTGCGTGTCCTAGAGTGCGGAGCCGAGAGCGAGGGCGATGGAGGTCAACGTCGTGATATGATATGATATGATATGATATGATTGATACTCTACTTCAGACTTTTGATGTAAGCTTTACCTATCGCCTCCGCCAGGTTTCACGTGACAGAGAGGGCCCTCACCTAATATCACCTAGTGGCCCACTAGGCGGGGCACGCCTTACCCAAAGGGGCATGTTCCTGAGTTTTCGTATTCGGGTTGGGCCATCCCTGAACCATTTCCATTTCCCTGGACTCTGGAGATCTGGACGCTCGAGATAAATGCGCGCCCAATTCCTCAAGACTCCCTCAACTCAATCAACTCAATCAACTTCCCCAGTCAATTTCCCTCCCTCAATCCTCTTTCTCTTCCTCTTCCTCCTTCTCTCCCTTGACCCTCTCTCCTCACACAATGGCTCCCATCCAGCTTGAGCAAGAAGACCACTCCCGAGATGCTGCTTTTAACAAGGCTATGCACAAGGACTCGGCCAATGCTGAGGGAGGTTTCAGGGCCATGTTGAAGAAGGACAAGGCAGCACAAAAGGCCGCTGTGGACGAGTACTTCAAGCACTGGGACAACAAGACCGCAAAGGACGAGACTGAGGCGGACAGGGAGGTATGGTGGTTTTGCTCTCTCGTCCACAAGTCATTGTGCTAATCTCCCCCCTTTCAGGCTCGAAAAGCAGAATACGCTACCCTCACAAGACAGCAAGTCACGTCCATGAATAACACGTTTGAGTCGCGCACCTCTAACAGACCTCAGTTACTACAACCTTGGAACGGATCTCTACGAGTACGGTTGGGGCCAATCCTTCCACTTCTGCCGCTTCGCATATGGTGAACCCTTCTACCAGGCCATCGCCCGCCACGAGCACTACCTAGCCGCCAAGATTGGCATCAAAGACGGCGACAAGGTCCTTGACGTTGGCTGTGGTGTTGGAGGACCGGCCAGAGAGATTGCAAAATTCAGCGGCGCCCACATCACCGGGCTGAATAACAACGACTACCAAATCGAGCGCGCTACTCGATATGCAGCGAAGGAGGGTCTCTCAGACCAGTTGAAGTTTGTTAAGGGTGATTTCATGGTCTGTCTCCTGTTGCGTACATCTCTTCGGCCTTTGAATAAGGCTCTAACATGGTCCAGCAAATGTCCTTCCCGGATAACACCTTCGACTGCGTCTACGCCATCGAGGCCACTGTGCACGCCCCCTCGCTGGAGGGCGTCTACAGCCAGATCTACCGCGTGCTCAAGCCCGGCGGCGTCTTTGGCGTCTACGAGTGGCTCATGACCGACAAGTACGACAACAACAACGAGTACCACCGCGAGATCCGTCTCGGCATCGAGCAGGGCGACGGCATCTCCAACATGGTGACCATCTCCGAGGGCATCGCCGCCATCAAAGCCGCCGGCTTCGAGCTCGAGCTGCACGAGGACCTGGCCAAGCGCCCGGACCCCACCCCCTGGTACTACCCTCTCGCGGGCGACTTCAAGTACATGGGCTCCATCTACGACTTCCTCACCATCGCCCGCATGACCAAGGTCGGCCGCGGTATCGCCCACCGCTTCGTCGGCCTCCTGGAAAAGGTCGGACTCGCTCCCGGCGGCACCCAGAAGACCGCCGACAGCTTAGCCCGCGCCGCCGACTGCCTGGTCGCCGGCGGGAAAGAGGACCTCTTCACCCCGATGTACCTAATGGTTGCGCGGAAACCGCTGAATCCCAAAGCATGAGCGAAGAAGACTGGGAAACAGGGGTTCTTGAATTGGTTTTACTCTTTTTGTCTTGTCTTGTCTTATCTTGTGTTAATGATGTATAATTGAATTGACCCCCCCGAGGAGGCACCGCGGCCCTAGACGGCGAAGCAAATGTGTGGGGTTTTTTTTTATGTTAGTTAATCGATATATGTATGGTAGGCATCCTAGCGGAATTTCTCTCTGGTCGTTAGGGATTAGATAAATATTCAGGGGATGCAAGCAAGTATCTGAATGCTGGGAGATTCGTAGGGTAGTTGGAAGGGAGAGAGCAGGGAAAAATCGGCTTTTTAATAATCATACCATCCCATACCTTACCTTACCTTACAGTAGTAATACCATCTCACATAGGTATAACGTAGCATCACAAAAATATGAACAGAAACATTAAATTCTTATAAAGTCCGTATTTGAAAAATAAAAAAAAGGGGGGTATCTCTGGTTTGAATCCTTAATAACTCTCTCTCTCTCTCTCTCTCTCTCTCTCTCTCTCTCTCTCTCTCTCTGTCCCACTACCCCCTTAGGGACATGGACATCTTGGATGTGAGTAGGACCTGCTGCTCCTCATCTCTCTCGCTCGCTCTGGGTATCCATTCATCCATCCATCCATCCATCCATCTCCTCCACAACTCTATGTATGTATGTATGTATGTGTGTATGTGTGTACGTGGGGTCCAGACCAGGCCAAGAATCGCCATCTCCTGAAAAAAAAAAAAAAGGTCCCCCTTCTTCTTCTTCTTCTTCTTCTTCTTCTTCTTCTTCCTCCTCTCCTCTATGGATGGCTGGATGGAGGGATGATGGTGTTTCAGGGCGCGAGGTCGGCTGGGCAGTTCTCTTTTTATTTGGGGGGGGGTTGGGCTGCTTGCCCTTCTTTTTCTTTTGTTCTTGTTACCCATCGTTTACTTGATGTAGAAAGTGGATGGATGGATGGATGGTGTTTTCTGGAGTTCTAGCCAAATTCTAATCCCGCTCGCAGGACAAAGGGAAAAACGTCAAGATATGTATGTATGTGTGAGTGGACCCGTAATGCCTCTCCTGGGCCTGGTCCTGTAATGCGTTCCCTTCCGTTCCAGTTTGTTGACGCCGAACCTTGATCACTGTGCGCTACTTTTATTATCCCCTGAAATAACCATCCGATTTTTATTTCCTTTTTGGATTTTGAGAGTGCGTTGAATGATGAATGATGAGGGGGAAGTTGGCTCTTTGTGTGTACTGCGCCCACCAAACAAACATGTGTAATATCTTAAGAAGCAAACAGGCAGATCCCATGTTTATCGTATGTAGACTTTTCCCACCAACGCACTGTACAGAATGAAAAGGGGACAAAAACGTTTTGGAGACTGTGGTGAGCTGAGAGGAATATGGACTGAGAGGTAGCGGAGTTGGTTTGAGTGCAGGAAGGAGTTGGAGGGCGTATTATATCCTCCCAATCGGCCTCCCGAAATTAAGACTGGGCTTCAGTCGCAGCGGCGGCGCATCATCGTCCGCGTCCGCATTGTCCTTCTCGATGACCTCCTCGTCGCTCAGCCTACTCGCAGCACTCTCCGTACTCGGACTCGTGCCTTCGCTCTTCTTGACCTCGTCCAATTTCTCAACCAATTGCGCGAGGAATAGATCATCTTTCCCCATGTCGTTCGTCAGTCCCAGCGGTCCAGTGAGCTCTTTATCTTCGTCTTCCTCCTGTATACCGTCGCCTGCGACAGCAGAAGGTTGGTGCGACTGCACGCTCTCGCTATCGACCTGCGTCGGTGTCACACCTCCGCTCTCTTCCAGAAGGCCAGAGAACCTCGATAGGGAATGGTTTGGGGTGTGGCCGGCATGCATAGTCAAGCGCTGTGTCTCCGGCTGCAACATCAAGCCTTCGACATCCGGTACCCGTCGCCCATTCGGGCTCAGACTGCTCTCCTTGGGTGCAGGGTTTTCGTTCTCCTTCACGTCTCGTCCGGGAGGCTTGATATTGGGGCTTAGTTTGGAGGGTGAATCGGTTTGCGGTGAGAGGATCTTGGCTGCGAATTTCGGAGATAGGGCGGAGGTGCGGATGGAGACTCCTTCGAGATCGGGTTGGATATGGGAGATGTCAATGGAATCGGCAGGGGTTTCTGGGATGGTTTCCAGCTCGCTCATTGACGTTTGGGGGCTCTGCACTCCGAAGTCTGACGGTGTAAGTTCCTTGGAGGTAACCCGGATGGGATTCTCTCTCGCCGCAAACATAGTGTCAACTCGTAGTGCCGTGACCTCAGATTGCTCGAACGTTCGGGAGGGGTTGCGGGACGCCGGGGCGTAAAAGGGACTCCCATCAGCATTACGTCCCGATTCCTGCGGCACTGCAGGTCTTGATGATGGACTGCCCGAACTGCCTGTCACGCTCACAGCGTTCGAACCCGGACTCGTAAAGCTCAAGGCCCCTTGCTGACCATGTCCACTCGGCCGTCCCCTCTGAGGTAGAGACGACGAGAGAAACGGCGTTCCCGCTGCCCTCTTCTCCAACTCGGCCTCCAGCTCCGCAATCCTTGCTTTCAAGATGTCCCGCTCTTTATCCCAAAGAGCCCTCTCCTCGGCCATCACCTCCTCTGCCCGTGCTCTATCGGCCAACATATGTGCTTTCTCACCCTCACTCTGGCACCTCAATTTACTGGCATATGCCCGCCAATCGTCCACCAGGGCCGCGGGGTTCTCGTCCGCACTCGCGCTCCGGGTCTTGGGTGGGGAGAGCGGTCTCTCCAGGCCTGGAGGCGAGCGTAACGAATGCACGTAGGGTTTCGGTACTGGGGAAGTGCGGCTACCAGAGCCGGTCGGGGAGATGTGATCGGGGACGCTGCAAGGGATTTGCGATGGGGAGACCGCTGGAGGGGGAGATGGAACCGCGCCGGATGGGAGGAAGGAGTCGGATGGTTGCTTCGACATGACCGCGCTGGTCGTCGGGTGTAAGAAGTGAGGGGCGGGGGCCCTAGTCGCAACGGCCCAGCAGTGGGCGAGTTCAATGGAGGAGATGGACGAGATGGACGAGATAGACGCAGTAGAATCGTAGAATGGACAAAAGGTGCGATGGCACGCGACAGTGGCACAGCGATCTGTCCTGTAAGTCTCTCGACGATCGAGTCTGGGGTTCAGCGATGGTGTTTGCGGGCGGGATGCAAGGGCACGCAGGGTGTAGAACGGGTCAGTGCTCGGCCATCGTTGGCAGTCGAGGTGTTGGCAACATGTAGGATGTATTGGTTGGAGAGAACGGACAGGTGAAGTTGAATAGAGTTGATAGAGTTGAGAGCGAGGTGAGTGAGGTGTGAGGTAGGTGTATGGGGAAGTGGAGGGAGTTGGAGAGTTCGAGTTCACAGGTGGCAGAGCACACTGCCCAAATGCAGAACCAGAGACACGCTGAAACACTGCAAGATGGGTCTTTTGGCTCTTTAGGATTGGGGGAGGATTGTGATTTGAGAAGATTGAGGATTGAGGATTGAGGATTGAGAGTTGAGAGTTGAGAGTTGAGAGTTGAGAGTTGGGATTGGGATTCACCTCTTGAGAGACATACCGTGGATTCACAGGAACGGCCCGTTTCCAGCAAGGGAATATCAAGAGAAGGGCGCCAATCAGCGTGTCAGTTACCTTTTACCGTCTTTGCCCTTGAGTCTCTTATGCCTCTTTGAATCTCCTCTTGTGAAATCCGTCGAATAGGGGCTTCTTCCCTCTCCCCTTGTCGCGATCCTTGTCGGTGGCCTTGTCATGTCCTTGCGTGTCCCTCTCAAAGTCTCAACTGCTTGGCTGGCCATCCCCCTGAACACACGTCGCGCCCAATCCTTGCCAATGCATCTCCGAGGTACTGTACATGTTACAGAGCAAACCACATCATCATGAGGCTGTCTTCCTTCTGCGAAAACAATAATAGGGGCCACGACACAACGTGGTCCCGTACATGAGAATGCGCACTCAGGGGTCTCTCACAGCGTAACCACGTACTTCCAATGGGCTTGAACCGCCCACCCATACTGGCGCCTTGAGTCCTGGACACGTTCAGTATCACCGGATCTCTCCAGAGTTCGTGGACATTTTGTGTGTTTTCTTGGGCTTCAAATTTGGAATGTCGGAGAAGGACTTCGATCAGGCAGGAAAGGAGGTTCGTCGTCGTATGCTGCTGCTGCCTCGACAGATACTACTGTATATATTGCAATATCAACTTGAGACTATGGCTTTCATGTACAGTATCATCAAATCCAAAAGCATCATTCAGCAAAAACCCCCCCCGACTATCACAATGGGAGTCCTCTACTTTCTCGACGACCTTGGCAACGCCCTGCTCTGCCGCCCCATGTCAAAAGCCCATAAATTCCGCTTCCTCAACTTCTTTGACGACATGGGCATCTTCTTCGTGTGCAAACCGATGGGGTATCTCTACCGCTTCGCTGAGGTTCTTGTCGGCTGACTCGAGAGTCATAGATACATCGATTCCGAGTGGCCCGTCGAAGGCGTGGTCTTGATGATGCGGGATCTGCTGGGGAAGTGATACGGCAAAGGCGATTTGGATTTCCGCTTTCGATTCAGGATGTAGGGGTTATGGACTTTCCGGGCTTCTGGTTAGCTCCCAGGATGAGCCTCATAAATCGACAGTGGCTCATCCATGACCGTGCTATCGAATTGGACGGGGAAAACTATTGTGTACGAAGAGCCCGGCAGAGGCCAGAAGCTGCGAGGAGACATTCAGGCAATCATGGAAACTGTCGTGTGCGATCAGTTCTGGCTGAGTGGTTAGGGGGGGGGAGGGGCAGTGGCTCGCTCGATGAATAGACTGGAAGACTGATATTGAATGTTTGCGAATTCTGTATTGTATTATGTGTAATGGAATTGGCTCTAAACTATGGATAGAGAGTATTCTACTCGCGCATCTTTCACTTGAGGCTTGAGGTTGAGTGGCTTGTATGAATCCCAATGGCCCCGCTGGTGTTGTTTTTTTTGGGGGGGGGGGGGGGTAAA